TCGATGAGTGGTTTCAATTCAGGCACAGTTTCCCGCCTGTTCCCGACGTAGTCGGATTTTACGCCGGTTGTTTGCATGGGTTAGTACTCTTTGCACGACTGTACGATTATATATTCTGCCCTTGGAGGAGATTTTTCGCTCTAATGTTTGTTTCATTGGACTTTTTCTCGAGATCAACTGTCTCTGTCTATTGGCGTGTGAGATATTTTGGGCCATGGTTTGAATTTCATCCCCACGTCTCCAGCATTGTCTTGACGGGAACTTTCTTTTGGACTGAGAAATTTTCAGAACCGCACTTACTGGAGGGCTTTTTGGAGAACTCGGGTTTCTACTCCTCTCCAAGGAACCAGTCTGATTCAGAATGAGAAAATTTCTCTTTGCCAATAATTTACAGATTATTAATGGCCCCTATAGCCCTGCTACCTCCAATGTACATAGGGCCATCGCAATTGGATTGGCATCTTTGTGGGATCTGCTTCCTTGCTTTAGATAGTCCCTAGTTGGATGGTCTTGGAGGACGATTTGGGGTCTAATCATCAATGTTTACAAACGGAGTTGGCTTGCACCCGTTTTGCCAATATTGAATTGACGGGCCACAAAGTGGACGCTCTTTCAGCATACATTGGAAACTGAGCTCGAAGCATGGGGATGCACGGTTGCCGGTACTCACCACACCCCGCAAGCATTAGACTCATTGGTGTTGGCAGTCACATCAGCCTTTGAGGTGGCTGTGCATACCGCAATGCCCTAAAAGATGTTTTGTCCATGGTCCAAGTCGTGCTGGACGGCAGAGCTCACATTGCTCTGTAGCACTCACGACCACATGAGCTATCCAAAGAGCGCTTTGCTAGAAACGGACAAGGTGGCGGCTCGCAGAGCGTACATTGATGCCATCCGGGCAGCCAAGGAACAACCGTAGCCAGATTCTGCAATACATTAGATAGGGACATCATGTGGGAGGGCTTCAAATGGGTGGCACGCAGGGGAACTCATTGTGGGGTTTCAAGCCATGCATGGTGACATGGTCAATGGCAACATGATGATGAGGATAAAGCGTTAGTACTCGGACCAAATTCTGCACTGCCCAAGATCAGGACCTCTCACAAGATCAGATTAGTAAAATTGAAGAAGTTCGGACATGGCTGTTTGAGCACTTGGCGCTCAACAATGCTTCCCCAGATGTGTCGCCAACAGAGGTGACCTCGGCCTTCTCCATATGCGAGCCTTAGATGTGGCTGGTTGGGGTGAGGCGATTGATGCATGTTTGCAGCACAATCAGATTCTACTCACTTTGCCCTTGACAGCCAAGGTCAGCAGTGGTTCTGCCTTCAATACTTTCATGAGGTTTGGAAAAGGGTCATGGACATAGTCATTCCAAAACAAAAAAGACTTGTCTTTTGCTGATGCATACCACCCTTCTTCTTTGCTCTCAGTCATGGAAAAGTTCATGGAATTAGTGATGACTCAGAGGCTCAGAGGCTCAGTTATTGGCTCGCATCCAAGAGGTGCTTGTTGCACAATCAATTTGGTTTCCATTGACAAAAATCGGCCAAGTAAGCATTGTGGAGATTTGTGGGTGCGACGGCTATAGCATTCTGTAAGTCATAAAAAAATGGGTGCCACCTCTTTCGACTTAAGAGCAACTTATGATTTGGCGTGCACCCCAGGACAATCAATGAAGATGAAGCATACAAAAAGTCCTGCCTAGTACATAGTTCTTGAACTAGGAAGGCAAACTTAGTTATTGGGGAGTGTATATCTCAGTGGTGCCTCAACAGGGGGGTACCCCAGGGCTCCCCCGTTCTCCCACGTTATGTCTCATTTTTGTGGATTTAATGCTTCGAGAGCTTGATGGGGGACATGCAGGGGTGTCAAAACAAGCATACCCCCTAAAGGCACAACGCATTGCGATTTTTAAGCACAGTTGTTAAGCACACAACGATGGTCAGGGTTCTGCAGATACAACCATCCAAACTGCTGCATGTCGCCAGCACCGCCAGCCCACACTTAGCAAAACCCACGAGGGATGTTGTCAACATCATGTTGGCGATGCTTGTTTGTCTTGCACACTAGAGTTTAGGGAATTACAAAGCAAAGAAGCATCTAGTGCCTATGCAAACCTCCACTATGTTCATATCCTTACATTTCGTTCTAAATGGACTTTTTCTGAAATCAGAGCAGGAAACACTAGGCCTTGCCATGCCGCCAAGGCCAGCAATGTTGGGCAACAACGAGGAGCGTGGCACAACAACCTATGATACCAAAGGCGCTTTCTCTAATAGGTTGCATTCTCAGATGTATTGAACTGGACACATACTCACGGCACTCCCCCGGGCCGCAAAGGGAAGAGCTGAACAACTCAAATGCTGGACATACAAGATGAAAAGGAGGTGCAAATCTATCCAAGTATAGCAATTGGCATGTCACCTAGCCCAGGTGTTTGTCTTTGGGGTAAGTATTGACGTCTTGCAGAACAAGGTAATGAACAGATGATGCAATTTGCACATATTCTCCAACACTGGTTTAGGATAGCATTGTGCATTCTGTCGCAGGCTCACCTATCATGTATTATAGATAGATGAAAACTGGATATTTGTGGTGAACTTGTTGGCTATCCCCACAATGTCTATCCAAGGAATCGCATGCACGAAAGCCACCACTGTCTTCCAGAAAACTGTTTTTGGCTCCTTGTTGGGGTTCTCATGCTCTTTTGCAACATCAACATGTTGCACCCGTGCACTGGTGGGACCTGCAAGATGAAAAACAAAATTCTTTCGATTCACCCAAGGAGGTCACTGTGCACCCAAAACTCATTTAATAAGCAAGAGGAACACGTGGTACTTCCTCTGTCCGGAACTAAATGAACACATTTGTTTGGCAGGGCCATATTTTCACCATAAATCTAAGCTTCTTTTGGAAATCAGGTCGTGATCTTATCTACTATCTCTGTTTGAAAAGTATTATCCATTGCCCAACCGGTCCAAACGAAGGTCCAAATGCGTGAATAAAAAAAACTGGTTAAAACAGCTTCGATATGCCTTATTTAGATCTATCCACAGAACCCTCAAACGTAGTAAACAAGACTGCGATTCTCATGATAAGCCAAAACGAGTGCAAGTGGCAATTTCCCTTGTGTTGGGACCTAATCCGGCCATGGCAAGCTTGTCTTGACTTCCATACAGAAGGATTGAGCTCAGCTACCCCTAGGAGAGATGTAGGACTTGGTGGTTGAACATTCACAAAAGATGTGGCTTGTTTCCAAAGAGAATCCGCAATGCAAAGGATGGTGCTTGGCTGCAGAGCTTAGGGTGTTCACAAGTACTGCGCAAAGGTCAAGGCCAAAGGGCAAGAGACACCTTGATCGGTGCAAGAACATCAACCTGGTGGATGTGCAAAGATCTGGAAAATCGCGCAAGGTATTGCCAACCAAAAAGATGGCATAAGTTGAGGCCAGCATGGCCAATCATCGAATATCGAGAATTTTAGAAATACAATTCAGCACAGAGGAAGAGAGAGAGTCTACAAAGAGTAAAAAAGCGGTAATGCAAGTACTCTTGAAAACATGTGGTAATGCTCACTTGTTGTCTACAACAAGGTTCTTGAAGAATTTGAGGAAATAGACTGATACACACCAAGATAAGGTAAGCACAAACACGTGGGGAAATGAAGCCCTGACACAAGTGGACAGGAATGCATTTGACATTTAAGACTGTGCACGTCTTGCTATAAGGTGATGACTACCGTCATCAAGATCCACATTAACCCAAAATCGACCAAGGAATCCAAGTCTGGTGACAAATTGACTAATTGAATTGATCTCAAAGTTATACCAAGATTGCAGAACGGACAGTACTTTTGACACAAAGGTAGGAAGGGTTTATTAGGGATCTCAAATTTTTGCACAGAAGAGGTAAGTTGTGCGCAAATGGCAGTCCCCCAACCCCACCCCCTACCCACCCCGACTCGGGCAGAAAATTGGAAATTCTGAAGGCCACGAGACACTTCGAGAGGGTGGCATTGCGCTTCACGTTGCGCAGCGAGAAGTGGACATTTGCTGTCAACCTTGTGGCTGCAGGTCAAGGCCGTCCCTAAGACAAGGGGAGACTGTGGAGCCGGGCTTCAAACCACCTCATCATTGATCTCCACCGTCGATTTGACCGTCCAAGCAATCCGAAGCTCTGCCGAGTCCACGATCCACAGTTCTTTCACAACTCGCGGCCACCAAGGACGGGGTGCCTGAGACTGGGAAAACCATCGGGAGAGCTTTGGAAGGAAAGCGCGCTTGCGCTTACGCACAGGAGCAAAAAGATCGCCAGAAATGGCTATTGTGACCACTCCCTTCGCGAGGGCTGCCAGGGCTGGTCACGGCGCTTTGAAAGACTCCACCGTCAGAGCTTCCAGACGCTACCGTGCAGGATGCCGAACGCCAACCGCGCAGACACAAGGGAACTCCAAATGTGCATCGGAACGTTCCAAATTCAAGATGGACGGAAGTTAATGCTGTTGAAAGGCGTATTGGTGCTCCCGGCATGCTACTCGCTTGAGAACCCCGACGAAACGTAGAATTTTCAGCACACGCAGCGACGCCACAACAGATCTTTGGGTGCCCGAGCACCTACTGGAAGGATGGATCCTGGACGTGCCCACATGCTTCTGCACAAGATGGCTCAGTTCCAGGCTGCACGAAATGGCCACCACGTTTGGCCCTTCCGAGAGAAGAGCGGCGCCTTTCCCTCCGCGGCGTTGCTGCCTCGCTCGCGACCCGGAGGCCGGGGCTCAAGTCAAGCGCACAACGTTGCCAGCGTCTCGATGCAGTCAGTCCCTCCGAATCCTGACCTGGCAGCACTTTCCTTGACAGGGCTGCGACTCTTTTGCCTGAATGCACATGCCAAATTGTGACTGACCCGCCGACACTGGCAGTGACTACCCCAAGCGGAACTGTCCCGCAAAAGGCAAAGGCTCCAAGAAGGTGCACCGGCGGAGTGTGGGACACGGACGGCATGCCGCTCACGGCCACTTCCCACTTTTCCTTGCCTCAGCGGCAGTGGGCAATAAACCCCGCACGGCGGGCGATCTCGGGATGGGCAGCCCGCCGCGACCTTCGTCGTCAAGCCGGCGCCCAGCAGGCCTCCACCGGCCCATCGAACCAACAGATGCTCGTAAGTCTCCCGTCTGTCAAACCTAAGCTGACGGCCGGCATTTCCCAATCCAACCCAACCTTTTATGTGCGCAAACAAGGTTTGCACGAGGCAGATAGGGGCATTGGGGCACCATATTGCCACATTCCGGCACGTTCGTTGGCCATTTCGCCGCCTTTCGCTTCTTGATGATCGTGTCGCTTTGTGTTGGGTGATGTCCGTGTCGCAGTCGTGGACTCGAAGTTTATCCTAAGGTGGGGTGAACGAATGCATCAGTGATAGAAAGAGCAAACCGAACGCAAGGGTCGCCCCTCCTGGCTTGCTATCACAGCTGAAAACGGTCACGTGGCTCATAATTTTCTACTCAGCATACATACGACAGGCCCTTTCTTGACAAGAGGCTTGTAGCCATTGTGTGGCACAGTGTATGTTGCTGTTGTTTGAAAGGCGGTGTTCACACCTCTGCCTGGTAGGTGTATGTGCCGCCACATCCATTGGTCAAGCACTGGCTGGCCGTCGTTCGAAATGTCGCCACGCCCTCTGCTCTGTTTAGGGGAGCTCTGGGGGAGCTTGGGAGGATACTCACCTACGAGGCATTGAGGGATGTCCTGCCCACCATCGACGGAGTGGTGGATACGCCAATGGGGGAGGCGGAGGTTACATTTATCGATCCCAATAGACCTGTGAAGGTTTGGCACAGTTGATTTGTGTTTGTGTGTTTATGCCTACCTGTTAACAATGCCTCAGCACACCCTCTCATATGCTGCTTCCCTTTGTGGTGACCATTTGCAACAATGAAATGATTGTTCTTGAAGAACGAGGAGAATGGTTGCACAACAGGCTTTCCTCTCCTGCAAAAGTTTTGAGATTCACTTAGAAGTAGTGAGTACGAATCTCCAAGGGCAATGCTAGCAATCAGTGCACAGCAATAGACCCCAACAATGAAGGCATGGTGGGCAGGTATTCTTCAAACCTCTCTGAATACATGGGTGTAGTGATCACTGGAGCCACGTGCAGGAGCATGCAGGGTATGTTGTCCAGTTTGGCTACAATCTTCTGTCCATTTACGAATCAGAGTCTGTGTTGTTGTGTGAGCTGAGTGCAAGTTGGCAGTTGTGCTCAGCTTCTGATTGTATTAGGAAGCACACAGAAATTTGATTGGGCACTCATCTTGTGAGCTATTAAGTCCAGCCCCTCATCTGTGCATAAAAATGTGCCCGTTGGACTATCATGAGTCAAAAAACTGACAGGCTGGGGGAAAATTGTTTAAAAGAAGTGCTGCTCGTGCGGTACACTTGGTTGTGGGCACATGCATGTATGAAGGCTGCAAAAGTATATGTCGCATTTTCCGCCCCCCCACCCCCCCCACCCCCTTTTGCCCCCACCCACCCCCAACTCTAACAGCCTTTGACTGTGCATTTGCCAAGTGCCTTTGTGCGAGGGCAGCCCATCATGGTTCAATGGCACACCCTGGCAATTGCCATGGAAGAAGTGTGATTGTTGCTCCTTGTTGAATACAAGCATATTGTTGTACAAGTCGACCACAGGGCATTTCAACTCCATGACAAAATCACCTTGCTTTGTGCATGGTGCAAGAATGGACAGAAGAATGTGGTGCTATCACAAGAAAAGTGGTGTGGGGTGTTATAAACACAAGGGCATAAAGCTGGTTGTGTGGATTGTAAGCTGGGCAGAAGCTGCTTTTGCCCTGTTGAATCACATAAAGCGTCCCTTCCTGTGACACCATGGTGCAGGCACATGCGCCACAACATCGCAATGCACTGCCCTTGTGCCTCAAAGGCGATGATGGGCACACATTGTTTTTTGGCAGATTCCTGAAAGTTGCCTTTTTCCACAAGACGATACAAAGCATATTGTTGGTGGCACTTCCTGGATATCCTGTCTGTCTGACAAGCCTGTTTAAGCAATTGGTACAGGCTGAACTACTGCTGTTCACGTTATACACTGAACAGCATTGCATCAGGTCACACAACACAGCATTTTCTCATCATCTAAAACAGAGCAATTCTTATATAAGTGCATCTGGCCCCTCAGCTTTGCCAGCCCTAATGTGAAGCTGCGTCCCCCGGTGCCTCTAGTTGCTGCTTTTCATTGCTGAAGCGGCTGGGGCCTGCCGTCCTGTTGAGTTTTCTTTGTTGGTTGGCATTCCTCTGTGTTGCTGCTTGTCTGAAAACTGAACAAGGCAATGTTGTTCACCCCAGTTAACCTGACACAGGTTCATGAGGAGGAGGATTGTGACTTTCTTGAGGTGTTGTCATTGCCAGGTAATTCCGGTGCTAAGAGCTGGTTTAGCACTACAAGAGCAGGCCACATCAATGATACCTACTTCTGCAACATATCATGTTGGGTGCGTGCGAGATGACACAACATTTGAGGTGAGTTCGATGAATGCATTGAGCATGTTGATGCCAACGTGGCAAACAGCAACAGTTTCATGACTTGGTTCTTCTGTTCATGTTGGTGTATATTCAACATCATCCTGTAAGTTCACTTGTCTGAAGTTTGCAGACAGACCGACCGCACTTTCCTTGTGATAGTTTTGTTGAGAATTTAACTGCGGTGCATCCTTTCACCTCGAGAGTAGTAGGGCTGTATGGGCAGATGCATGGTTTGTGTTGCCCATTCCTGCTCACAGAACTATGCTTGGCATGGTAGTACTACAACAGATATCCCAGTGGAAGGACAGATTTCGAATGATGCCAGGGGCGAATTGCACATCTTACCCACTGAATGGGTGGTCTCTGGTGGGTGGACAGTGTTGGGCATAGGCCATCCATCCCAGCACATTGGAAACCCAGATCGCTGTCTTCGGTTTCTGTTTTACCTGCACGTTGACAGCAATGGTGCATTTCAGCTGATTTATTGAGACATCACTTGTTGCTGTGAAGAGCAAGGAGGTCCCACAATGGGTGCTCTGTCCTGGCAGTGTCTTTGAGGCGTTTCATCTCCTGGGCAAGATGGTTGGAAATCTTAGAGTGTGTGAGGATGGAATGTGCAAGTGATAACCAGCCAATGCTCAATATGTCAACCTCATGTTGTGTGCACTCACAGACAGTATGACCAAATTGTCTGCTGCCAGTGCAGCCGTCTACCTACCTGAACAAACTCCCGGCAGAGCTATCACCTGATGAGTTGATCGTGGTCCTGGACCCTATGCTTGCGACAGGTACGCGAGCGGTCTTCCACAGTGCAGCTATTTGTGTTAATATTTCTGTCCTGCACACTTGCAGGTTTCTGAAACATAGCAGTGTAGGGCGCATTGTTTTTGTTTGTGTTGTCCATTAAAGCTCAGTGCAGGTCCCCATGAATCAATACCTGCTCACTGTTGGTCAGTCGATTGCAGTATGTAAACAGATGCACTGCTGGGGCTGTGGGGCCAATTCTGGATGGCTGTGCTGACAGATGCAGGCAATTTTCTCTTCTTTTTGCACAAGGTGAACAATGAGGATGGTACCATCAATGAAATGGAGCAAATACGGCAACTGCGTTGCTCAGCACCGATTTTGGGTCCAGCACAATGTGAACGGTGCACTGATGAAATCGTTGCAGTACAGTTGTGTTGGAGGACAGTTGGTCCTAACGTCTTTTCCTATCTGTGAAGGGGGCACCATGATGTCAGTGCTTGAGAACATCACCAGCAGAGGAGCACAGGCAAAGAACATCCGTGTCATCTCTGTGGTAGCAGCACCACCAGCTTTGAAGAAAATATCTGAGAAATTCCCAGGTGCGATTTCTGCACACTGTGGCTTCGCTGCATGCCATTTCGTTCGCTTTGGCGACCGCGATTTTCTTTTTTATTTCATTCCCAATCGTAGTGCTCACGGGTTGCATGGACACAAACCTTCTCTTGAACTGTGTATGGTCGCCATTCAGTGCCCCAGGGAATCAAGCATGCTGTGACCGTTGGCAGCTATGATTAGTTCAAATATGGTCTTGAGTGAATTCGCTTTTGCATCGATGGGAACCCTCAACCCATGCTTCCAAGTGAATCGTGTGGACAGACCCTCCCGCCCTCTGTTTACGCTGTTGCTGACCACCAATCCAACAAGCACCACAGTCGTGGGGTGGCACGCCTTGATCTTGTTACAAACGTGGCTTTCTGTTGAATTGCCGACCACAGGACCGCAGATATGCTGCGCTGAGTGGTCCTGGACAGGTGTTGTGTGCAGATTGCTTGGAAATGGTACCGTGTCGCATTTGGTATGCTTAGCATTAATATGTTGCAAAAGGGGAACGGGTCCAGACCTATTGCGCTAAGAGGTAGCGTAGCTGCCACAAAATCAGCAAAATCGGGCAGATGCGCCAAGCACTGGCCAGTGGCAGTGACAACACATGAATTGCTCCAAAGATGGCCTCAACCGTTCAATTTCCATGGAAAGCGCCGGAATGTCCCACTCTGTGGACTCAAGTTCTGCCCAGTCGACTGCCGGAGCTTTTGGAATCCCAATTTGCAACCCATTGCTCCAACTCTGGCTGTTTCCCATCGTTGAGGATATCATGATGCAGCATCATTCGTTTAGGCAATGTTGTGGAGTCATCCCTGCATTGTCATGAGGATTGACATCAAGCCGGGTTGGAGGGGGTGTGAGATTTGTTACACCTCAGAAACGAAACAATTCGTATAATGGGCACCCCATTGCTGAGCAAGCGTGTGCGAGACCTTTTTCCATTCTGTGGAAAGATGATGTAAAGTCTCCAAGAAAGCAGCAGACAGCTCAAGCACCACGAAGAGCGGGGTAGAGAGGGGTAAGATTTCTTACAAAAGAAGAGAAAGAGAAGCATGTCATACAAAGGGCACCCCCTCCTGGGCATGTGTATGTGAGGCTCTTGTCCATGCTTTAAAAGGTGATACAGAGCCTCCTATGCAAAGATGGGCACACAATACGGGGGAGAGAGGCGGATCTGAGCACAGCGTCAAATTGACGCTGAGTGCACCAAAATCGACATAGCGCCTTCCTTGCCGACGCGCACCTTGCGCGCCTCTGTATCCTTCACATTCCCTTGAGGCCCTGGCTGGCGGTTCAGGCACGAGCAACTTTAGCTTGCATGTGATCAGGGCTTCCTCGCTGCGGAGAAAAGCCGGGGCTGAAGATGTACAGATGTCTTGTTGGAAAGTCTGGGATTCTGAGTGGTTCAAGTGGTGGTGGTATGGGCAGGATTTTACATCAAGGCCACCCCGTGAGCAGGCGAAGTTAAGACTGTAAACGGGGAAGGTCTTTTCTTTTTTTCGTTGATAAGCAGGCAACGTTGCTGCACTGCCCTGCCCTGCACTGGCCCTTCTCCCACCCCTAGCCTCCTCCACCTCGGCCCCGAGAGTCGGGCTCCGCTCGCATGTCTTGCCCGTTGGGGCGATGGAAAATAACTTTGCGCCTCGTGCTGAAATATCCATGTTGTCCATATTCGAAAATGCCTATATTCCAAAATCCCTTGCCTGATGTTGTGGCATGGAAGAGCATCCTGTGTGCAGCTGTATTAGCAACACAAATGTCTGATAAACTTCATTTCTGGACATGAACTTCGTGAAGACCATCTCTGGGTCTGGGGTATTTGTGTGTTATGTTCTTTGGGCTTTCGTACTCTTTATGACCTTTGACACCCGTTCATTACCTTCATGTCAGAAACGATGGGAATCGAACGACAGTCAGCGCAGGTTCACTGGTTGTTGTGTATGTGTTTCTCTTTTTGCCCATTTGTTGATCAATGAGTAAAATAGTCGACAAGCACGTTGCTGTGCTGCAGGTCTGAAGATATACACAGCCATCATCGACCCAGAAGTGAACGAGCAAGGGTACATCATTCCGGGCCTTGGTGATGCTGGTGATCGGTGCTTTGGAACACAATGACCTACAACTTCTTGCTCTGTTCCTCAGAGATACGCAAACCAAAAATGATATTGTCTGAAGCCTATCGCCCCCCAGATACTGAACTGCTACCTGGCGCAAGACCACGTGCAATCTCTGGAGATCGCCAGTCACAGATGGGAAGAGTTGCACTGGCTGTCTTGTGCTGCTGTCCAATTCTAGCGAGCATATTTGCAACGCAGCCCCAGCCCGTGAAAGTAAGCTGCGTGAAAGCGGGTACCCATAACATGATCAGTTGTGTGCATACATGCTGTGCGACTTTGAGCACACGAACGCAACTGTTGCCACAAGGGAAAGGGAGCAAAAATGTGCATGCAGATGCGGGAAATGGATTTGCAGCATCCCAGCAAGGGGCGTACAACTGAAGCCACACGCCATTGACAAGACAACCAAGTTTTACAGTGAACCCGAACACAGTCCACAGATAATTGCCCATGAATTAACCCAAACAGAACTGCGGACTGCTTGCTGGAGCTTGTCGACGCATCAACACAGTCAATGCCGCTGAATTCGATGTGGCCCCAATATCAAAACGATTGTGCCAGCAGCCCTATACTGCCAGAATCAATCTCAGTACTAGAAAGAAATTGCTGCACAAAGGCGCTCTTATTGTTCGTGAAAGCAGAGAACCATGTCTTTGAATGGTTTTTCAGTGACTCTGCACGGTGACTCTTCTTCAGAAGTCTTCCCTTTGAATCCCACTGTTATAGTTCGATTTCTGTGTGATGCCTCAACAAATAGTGCCAGCGTCCGTCAATAGACAAACCGGCTTCTAACCAACGATTGGCCAGAAGTCAGTCGGCGTGGTCCCTCTCCAATCCCCTTTCTGGCCGTTCGCCCCAAAGAAACGAACCTCTGCGCACATTCAGCACATTTGTGTACACCAGTCCCACAAGTGCCATCCAGTAATATGGCAGGGCTGCAAAGGAGCCGGGACTTGAGGCCACCAGCACCAGCAGCCACAAGTGAGGAAGCAACCTGAAACAGAGGACACAAACGTCTTAACCCCGCCAAATTGCTGCACCATATCAAGAGCAAAGAAGAGCTGATCAAGAGCAAAGGGTGATGAATTGGCCTGGCGCTGCTTCAGTACCACAAGGGCAAACACAAAGCCATACAAACCCTCACGCCTGCGCCTCGTTGGTGTGTTGAAAGAGTGATGTACTGCGAAACCATGCAGTGCACATCACCGTGGGGTGGAATTCGACGGACTGATGAAAGGGATTTACAGGAACAGGGAAACTCGATCAGCGCGTGGTAGGATTCTATGCCCGCGAGAGTACGAGAGTGTGAACACACACTGCCGGCTGTATAGGGAGCAGTAGTTGCCATGGCAAAAACGCATCTTTCTCATTCACAAAGCATCCTTTGGCATCATATCACACGGCATCAGTCATTGCGTTGTGTACAGTGTTGTGCCCAGTTCGCCACACTTGGTGTCCCGAATGACGACTCACCACAGACATGCAAGCAATTTGCTGCTCAATTCAACAACAGAAGATGCAGCAGCAGATCGATCTTGTCAAGCCATCCACTGCGTGCTGTATCTTCTATCAGTGCACAAATCGCATCCCAAGGGGCTGATACTAGCGACAAAAACTATAAGCGCCAGTCTAATTGCTCGGCACGTTAGCCTCACCTGGAAAGCACCATCATCACCAGCTCTGCATACCACAAAGATTTGCTCATGGACATGTTGCTGCAAGCACCAGCCATGTTCAGCAGCCGGCGAAACACATGAACTGCAGAACTCCACTCTGCAAGCAGCGCCACGGACAGCAAGTCCACGTGCACTTGCTTGAAAGCGGCGCTGCCAAACAGACAGAGCATGATTGTGTAGTGCACCAAGGCGTGTGGGCTCTTATCATACATTCTGTGCCGCAATACGTCCCATACTTGAAAGCCGGCGAACCCTGTCGCGAAGCAGACGACCACGAGCGATACCTAGAGACAAGGTGAACAAAGAGCAGAAAGTCAAGAGACACAGTACAGTCTGATGAAACACATCGCACACGACGCATAGCTCATGACTCATAGCGTCCATGCAAGTCTGTGCAACGGTCAGAATGGGCACTTCCATCACAAGGTGTGCAGCGCATCATTTTCACTGCACCCAGTGTGGCATGGAGCGATACAGGGAGCTCACGTTGTTCGTGCTCCCACTTACGTGTGGCCTTCCAGGTTCGGAAATCTCTCGTTGCAGAGACTGCACAGCATGGCCCTTTTCCCCAAGTCACTTAGCGAATGATATGCCACCACACAATGTTGTGATTTCTTATTGTTGTGCAACATCACCTGAAACATCACAATTGCTTCAAATGCAATATCCAGGGAAAGGACCAAACCCTCCACTGCACAGTGAAGCTACCTGATCTTTAGATCCTGGCAGCTCGCTGTCAGAGGCACCCAGGCTTGCGCACAGAAGGCTTGCAGATCCCGCAACACAAGAGAAAACAAGTTGTGTGACATTGTTGTTCCACCAACACTTCTGCCCCCATGACAGCCCACCATAGGCAGGGACACAGAAGGCTGACAGTTTGGAGACGGCAGCCAGAAGGGTGGCGAAGGCAGAAGATGTCGCTGGCAGTATCCACAGGTAGCGACGATGGCTAACACAAATGCCCATGAGGAAGAAGTAGATGGCCAAGAGGACCTGTGGCAGGATGGAACCCAAAAGGGTGTTGAGATAGCCTCACACCACATCGTTGACTGAAACTTCACAGTTGCAGTGTGTACTGGTGTTCGCGTGGCAGAATAGTGTGCCCGCAGCCCAAATGCAAGCAACAACCAGGGGTGTGTGGAGCTCCCACTGCGAATGCAGCACCTTAAATCCCAGTCCTAAACACGATCAGCTCTCCAGAAAAGGCAAGTATGTGGGTGTGCCCAGACACAATTTCAGCTCTGCGCGTCCTGCACAATTGCCACACACTCCAGAATGAAGTGGGCCTACATTCCCCAGATGCAAAGGCAACAGAAAGCACCTGTGTAACTGGATCCCTTGGCTTCGTGTTGTCAACACAGGTGGCTTCATCACTCGTCACAAGGTTGGTGCGCATTCTGTCCACATCCGCGTCTGGCACCCTATCCTTCCGGAGCACAATCTGGAAGTTGTGTATGTATTTCGCATCAAAAGCTGCCTCACAGTATGCAAAGTAGAACCTGTACTTCTTCCAGAACCACTCGTTGTAGCCCAGAGCTGCCAGTTCCTCCTTGCGCTCCTCCCAGGAGGCCCTCCATTGCCGCAGGGTCACAGCATAGTCAAGGCCGATGTCGTTGGCGTCATGCACAGACATGCCATGCCGCCTGGCCAAGTCGCTGACCAGTTGCAGACAAGGGAGGTGGCCGCCTGGGAAGATGTGCTCCCTTATGAAATCGGATGAGCCGCAGTATGCCTTGTAGCTGTGGGCCAACATACGCTCAGAGAGCAAAATCATTGGAATGAACATAAATCAAGACAGAGAATTGACACACACATGGACATATATTCCAACACCTTAAATTGGAGAATATCTGGCAAGCACTGGTTGTCTTACAGCATGCAATACATTGCATGCTGGTGATTTAGGGAACATGTTGCCTAGGAGCAGAGGAATGGCTCACGAGGTCTATAGGGGGTTCAAGGATACCAACAACATCAGCCTCAATCCCAATGTGCATGCGACAAGCAGTACACTGCTCTCCACCACTGTAACCTCATTTGATGCTTCCACTGGAGCCTGGCCTCTGAGCTCAGAGGGTACACATCGAGGGCTGCAACGCCTCATGCACCACAAGTCCAGTATTTAAGGGTTTGGGGTTGAGCTGGGGAACGATGGCAGACAGCAAATCTGACAGGGTGCTCCTGATTTCTGTGTTGCTTCACACAAGGTACCAAGAGACAAACCAATGTACAGCTCCGTATCACAATGGATGTCTCAACCTGCAAAGATTGCACTATTGCTCAGCAGCGAACCATTGATGCCCTAAGACAATGATGAACGCTGTATACACATGTTCCAATCCATAATGGTACGAGAGTCATGTTGTGTTTGCACACGGCGCAAATCATGGCGGCAATTCTCATGTTCCAGCACAACACGATTTCATCCTTCAAAAGCACAACTAGTCCTCGTCATCCTCCATCACGTAGTTCTTACCGCTCATCAGGCACAGAGATGGCTTGAATGGCAGCTGCACCTCCAGGCTTCAACATCCTCCAAATCGTCGCAAAGTACCCATCCATATTCTCATGCCCAACGGCCTCAATCATCTCGATGCTGACAACCTTGTCAAAAGTCCCAGCACCGGGGCACTGCCGATAGTCACACAGCATCAGCTTCACCCGATCCTCGAGGCCTGCAGCTTTCACCCGTGCTTGCGCCTCTCCCAGCTGGGCTTTGCTGATGGTCAGTCCTGTCACTGTGCAGCCTGTGCTCTGTGCGGCACGTATGGCAAAGGAGCCCCACCCACAGCCAATCTCAAGGACATTGTCAGTGGACGTTATTTGGGCCTTGGCGATGATGACATCCAATTTTTTCAGTTGGGCTTCCTGCAGGGTCTTACCTGGATTGTGGATGCCGCTTGAGTACGTCATGGTCTCATCAAGGAACAACCTGATCACAGCCAACTCAAACAATTCATATGAATGGTGAGGGGTGTAGTGGTTAAACCTGGCCCATACTGGTACAAATCAAGTCAGATCGGTGACACGTAATCCAGCCCACAATACGAGACACTGAATTGATTTCCACTGACTCAGATCAAATGCATTGACAGGAAAGCGATTTGGACCCTAAAATCTGAATGCTGAGCACCCTGATCGAAAAGTCTATATAGCTGGGCTACAATTTTCCCTAGTGTTGGACTGGGCAGAACCTCTACACCACTGACTAAGTGCCCTTCAAATTATTCTAGGTCGAATCTCTTCTCCCGAAGCAAGGAGCCTGCCTCTAAGCTACGTAGCAAAAGACACAAAAATGTCACACAATGCTTTGTACAGTGAATAGCGCAGGACATACAAATGGAAATCTAGAGGAACTGGTGGCCAGCCTAGCCTCAAACCAGCACATTAGAACGGGACATTGTTTCACCAAGTAGCACAAATCAGGCATGCTCCAGAAGGCCACATCTGTGCAGTGCATAAGCACACAATCCCAACCACAGGCAAACCATCCAACCCACGTACTTATACATATCGTTCCCAGCATCGTAGTGCTGCTCAATGTTCTTCCGGCTCCCAACGATCGTGTTTGCCCTCCGCAGGTGGGCCAGGTGCAACAACCGATCGCCCATCCAGTTAAAGAACCCCAGGGCCCCCCGCTTGTTCTGCATGTTGGCTGCATTCGCCACAGCAATGGCCAGCAGGCCCCCAATGTCATCAACCTCAAAGTCACCGTCCATGTAGCCCTCACCAAACCCTGAGTCATGACGGATAACGATTTTCCTGAAGAAGGCCATTTTCAAGACACGGATGGTTGCCCTGGCACGAGGACGGCCATGCCAGTTGCCTGTGCAATTGTCACAATCACAGCATCTGTCAGTGTTTCTGGTCAACACGCTGAATGCAAACTTTCAGCATGCCCCAAACACAAAACTGCCACAATTTTACGCTTCAGTCTTCAGGCATACATAAACACACCTGATCTGTCACATCCACAACTGGGATAGGGCAAATTGCGTCCAATTTCCCAGAAGGTGCACTCGCATTATCCCGCGTTAGAATGTGGAAGGTGCATTGCACTAACATTTGCAATTCCAGTTCAGTGGCTGCTATGACATGCATGTATATGTCCATGGGGAGTGGATCCATCATATCAGTTGTGAACCATGCCGCACAAGCCAATTTTCCAATCAAACCAATCGAACAGTACAAAAGCACATACTGACATAAATTGACACTTCAGGAACCATTCCCGCACCTTCAAGCTGTTCATGGCCACCTTCACCATACTGCAGCTCTGCACCGCTTGGAAGGATGATCCTCAAACTTCCATTTCTGATACCTATTTTAGCAAATCGGTCAAACGTCCTCATGAACATCCAGTCAATCCAATCGACCTTTGGAGATGTGGAAATGGGCTTCCAGGGCACTTCGGCCCCCAACAGCTGGGCAACAGCGATCGCTGACTTCATGCCATCTTCATGGAAGCCATAGCCACACCATGCTCCCGCGAAGTACAAACCCCGTTTTCCTTGTATCTTGTGGAGCTGTGTCTGAGCTGAGCATCCAGCAGCGCTGCAAATAGCAAGATCTGATCAGTAAAGTTCTGGAAGCATGATAATATTCCGCATCAAACACATCTCTGCAAAGTACAAAACACATCCCATCAACCCTGGCTAATGAAGTTGCAGGGTCACGCTATCCTGACCTGTCACCAATTGATTTGAGTCGATTCAACAACTGTTCCGCGAACATCTATCCCAATGATCCAGATCTGTTGAGGATTCAACTGCAGGGAGTTTAGGGAGCTGCTATCATCCAACAGGCAAATGTGGTGTGGGGCATGCACAGTTGCAGCCATTTTCACCACTACACTGCTGCAGGCAGCACTGTGGAGCCCAATCGATGCACAAGACGTTGTGCCCAGTGGAAAAGCAACAATGGTGCCCAAAGCTGTCTCTGCATGTAGTGGTCCAGGAACACCACAACAATACTGCCCTCATGTGCAGCACAGTAACTTACGTGAAAATTGGATGTGCTAGAGTCACTCGGCTGAATGTTTTGTCCTTGTGTGGAGGAACACGTGGGTTGAGTGTGGCGAACACATCTGGTGTACCAGCTGGCAGGTTTTGAAGGTGATTGAGCCAATAGGTCACACAGACGTCTTCATCTTGTTGAGACACAGATGTGCCCAAAAAGTTCCACGATGCCCATGTGGACCTTCGTTTGGGCATCAGGCTTGTGTCTGTATGGTGTCAGCATTGCACCAGGATACACTCAGGTGCAGTCAACAGCTATCAATGCAAAGCACAGAAGACTTGCAAATTACAACTGAAATCGAAAGCACAAAGGGCCTTCACAAGACTGAGCCAAAAGCAGTTTGCAGCATTGATGACGACATGTGCAGCACATAGTCACACTAAAACAGCTGTTGTCAAGGCCATGTGGAAATAGCTGCGGAGAGTGGCCAAAAGCGCTGTGGTTGTGTATTCTGCCAAGCGCATTGTGCACACCAAAGTGGCTGATGATGATGCACAAGGACAGAGTCCTAAAGAAGCCAAAACAAAGGAAGGATACCAATGACATCATTGTCACCATGCAAGATTGCTGTTGCATCCAGTATGCCCCTGGCCTTGTATCCCAACAAAAATGGGATATCCTGCCAAGGATTGCCAAAGCATGATACACCTATGTACTGTTCAAACAGTGCCAAATGATTCGTGACATATGCTATCGTTTCACCCCCCAAGAAGACAAGCACTCATACCACACACACAAACAGTTGGTTTTCACTGGTTCTGAGATTTCTTTCCGATGGTGAATATTTGTGCCCATGGGTTGCCTTTGCATGAACCTGCAGGGTTGCAATACAGATATTGAACCTCTCTTGTTCAACAACGACTTCCCGAAAACACACAGAAGATAATCACAGAGATTGCAGGAAGCCCTACCACTGTGGTAATAGACAACGTTGTCTTGGTATGGAATGGACGATAGGATGTGTCTCTCATCGGCTGATGCACCATTCCCAAGAAGGGAGAGGGAGGTGTTTGAATGAGTTGCCAGAACCACGGCATCGAATTCATCTTTTGATCCATCTTTAGTGGTCACAACGATGCGATCGCCATCAACAGCTGCCACTGATGCCACAGCCTGTCCAGTCCTTACATCGGGCAGGTCTGTAAACAGATCCAACAACAAGATTCTTGTTCAGCCCTCGAGATAGCACATACTATGGGGACTTACACCCAGACTAGGTACATGTGTGTGCGGAGTAAGGCAAGTGTTCAGCTATGCTGGTCCCCAATCCAACAACAGAGTGATATTGGTTTCAGCCAACATCAGGTATAAGCAATCAAAACACGAAGCACAGTCAGTATGTGTATAGCATAGCAACTGCTGTGGATTCCTGCTAATATGTCTGTTGGATGTGGGCACTTGTTGCAACTTGGCTGTGCCAAATATCAGAATACTCAAGCACAAGGTCTCCACTTTTGCAGGGTCACTTGGTTATGCTCCTGTTCTCCTGAGCAACTAGCCCATCCAGGCATGATGCAAAGCAGTCAGCAACCTAAACAAAGCGTTTGCTTCAATACATCTTGCCACTAAGCAGGAAATGCTTCACCCATTTCACCACAAGAATTCCAAGCGCAATTTCACGTCCTCTCACCTTTTAAAACTCTGTCAACATAATCTACGCTCCTGTTCTTCACGACCCTCCACAGAGGCCTTTGGAACAGGTCCAGCAGGTGATGATTCACCCAGAAGCGAACAAGCACCTTCACAGGGTACTGCATGGCGATGCTGAACGGCACACTCCACACTGCAGCACACATAGGCAGCAGGTAGCATTGCTTGAAGACCTCACCATATCCCTCTTGATTGATGTACGTCCCGAGGTCCATGTCATCATACAGCTCTGCATTCTTTGCCTCCAGCACCTTGGAAGTCAATGAAAAGAAAGGCTTATTTGAACGTCGTGTAATGAGTGCTGTTGATTTCCTCCCATCGTGGAGGACAGCGTGGAGGGTTGATGGCAGCATGCCGGCAGAGCGGGGTTCTTATGTCTGGAAGTTGTGACTTGTGTACAATTACAGCAGTTGCATTCTTAGCAAACAACTTTGCCTGCAACTGACATGCCCCCAACCAATTCTGCAGTTACCTGAAAAGATCGACTAAATTGATTTTGCCATCTCAGGAATCCAATGCCCTCTGACTTCCCCATTGCATGTGTGTTCATCTTTTGTGCACATTAAAACAGAACTACAACCACAACACAGAGGCGACATCTGCAAGTTTAGGGACAGAATCCACATCTCTTCCGTTGAAACCCAGTGATGCCTTCAGCCAGGTAAATGGTCAGCATTTCTGATATCTTCTGACTAAATCGGAGCACCCCGCAGCAAATACATAGAAATTGAATTTCAATGCTGATGGGGGCGGTCATGGTATCGAGCCCCACCTGCGGCGCCAACTGCCCAAAGCGCACAACCTCCCAAATCATCCTCCAAAACCCTGCGTTGAAAACGTTCTCCCGCTGTGCAAACACCGCCCCCAGGCCCGTGCTGGCCCACTCGAACGCGCCTCCGTCCAGCGACAGCGCGAACGACATGTCCGACGGCTCCGTGTCGATGCCCAGCTCCTCGAGGAACCCAACCAGGTTGGGGTAGGTGGTCAGGTTGTACACCTGAGGGCCAGGAAGCCGCACCCCTGGGTCAGTGGACAGTTGAACCACCATGGGCAGGAGCCCACGCGTGGGGCCCGCCTTGAACCCCTTCCGCGGACGCCAACCCGTGTCCAAGTTCACATGTCTGCAAAACCGATGCCGCACGGTGGAACCGTGCATTGAACCCCCGCGGCTGCCCCTCGGACTTTTGATGGCGCAATCGCTGGCCATGGGGATTACGACCCAGGCGCGCCCGAACGTGGGCGGCCGATCAGCGGGGTCCATGGCCACCCGAGCGGCCCGCCTCGCGCCGCCCGAGCGGCGACGGGCCCGTCGCAGCCGCGGGCATCGCGATGGGGAGATCGGCCCGCAAGCGCCGAAGGGCAGCCGCGCAATCCGCGCACTGCCGCCTCGTGCCCACCTGAAAGCCGAGGTCTACAGGGCACGGCCCGGATCCGTCCGTCAGAGTGTGGCCGCCGCATCTCGCGCAGCCCTCGTACAGCGTGACGCGCTCCCCCGCCCTGCGCCGCAGTCGACACGGCCACCGTCAGTCGCCGTCAATGCCTATCGATCAGATGCCATGAGCGCGGGGTGGAAGGGCAGATGCGCAGGCTCGCCTGTTGAGCAGCCACGCGGTGGCTAGGCCGGAGACGCCGGCGCCGATCACCGCGACGCGACGCGGCATGGCGGCGGTGGGCCGGGGGGGCGAGGTGGGGCCACGGTGGGCGGGGCCCACTGCGGCGCAACCAGGCAGGATTGGTTGGGCCCCCACGCTGCAAACAGATCACACGTGGACCACCAGTCACCTAGCACGGCCCCTTGGACAGAAACGCAGAATTGGCTTGCATAATCCTGACGGAGATTACTTCATCCATGGTGGGCGATGCGTTCCTGGCGGAGGGCAGGTTTGGCACCTGTTTCGAGCGACGGGCCGTGCAATCCCCGGTGTTTTCTGGTGCCTGCCAACTCCGCTCCCACCAACAAAGGTGAAAGGCCACTGGCCCGGCGGCACCAGGCTTCGCGCAGCCACACGATCAATGCCCTGTGGCCGTCCCACCCAATGGGCAATTTGCACGCGGCACTAGCAATCACCTCGTACTAGCAAGCAGACTGGAATACTTGTACTTTCGCCGATTTCCCCCCTCCTTTAACAGTTTGCTTCTGCATGACAGTATCCTCTTCCCCCCGAACCGCACATTGACCGACATATTTCTTTCAATCCAACAAGTGCGAGGTCGATTCACAAGAGAGGGGTGGGTGTGAGCAGAACAGCACATGTGGCGATCGACGAGCCCTCCTTGAATAGGGAGGCTGCCCGCCAAAAGAATGATTCCCTCCAAGTCTGGCCGCTTAAACGAGTCCTTGAAAGTGCGCCTAGACTGCACATATCCCTTTCCCCACGCTCAAATGCAGCCTGTTGACCAACAGCTCCCAAACTGCCCGTGGGCTACCAGCGCGCAATCACGTTTCCCGAATCAAAATGTAAATAAAGACGGTGACTCCATTATCGGAAGAAAGTTGCACATCTTGAATACGGAAAAGGATATTGGGGAGCCCATATATTTATATCCAGGATATACAACTGTTTTCCGACGATCCAGCATCAAAGCATTTGAAGAAGGCTTGTTTTTAGCAAAGCAAATCTAGGAAGCCAGTGTTTCATGGTAGCAGGTCTCAGCGCTGTCAACCAAAGACAATGAACGCATGGCCCAAGTCATCTTATGGCGGCAGCTGCCCAAAATGGACTTGCTGCCCTCTGCGTCGGCATCGCAATGTTGAGATGAGCCTCGCAGCTTTGGCATTGCATGCATGCAGCACTTGCACCCATGCTGTGGAACGCAGCCTAGAAGTTGGGACCGCTTCAGGACGGGTTCCGTACATGCTAGTGCATAGCAGGGATCCAATTACAGTGGGACAAGAGTGGCGCTTTGTTATTTGGTACTGGCTTGAAGCCTGCTTCTGTCAGCTGGCGCCGCCAGGTATTCACCACCGTTATTCGTGCTCAAAGCAACTTTCTGACTGGTCACGAGCATCGAGAGGGGCCGGGCCTTCTGTCGTCTGTCAACGAGCTCCTGCGGACAGATCACAAAATTTCTCCATGCCCGAGGGCCCAAACACAAGCGCAGCCGCGAGAAATTGAAGAAAACGGCCTAAAAGTAATAGGGGAGACCGCCTTTACCGCCATGGCCTACATTCTGCCCAATCAGTACGGCATCCTGGACTTTGAAGCTTCAAAGCCTTGAGTCCAAAGCCCGCTCGATCTGCACTGATGGTTGCCTTGACAGCCGCTGTGTGAGGCGCTGAAACTTGTGCGCGCCTTCGCTGCCAGCCCCCAGCGACCCTTTTTCAACAGACTGCTGTCGCAATGTTCAGCTATCCACTTGGGGGAACGGAGGCCTGAAAAGGTATGGTGGCCTGTGCATGACGACCAACGACAGCGCTGTCACGCTTGGCCCTATCGGCGCATCCCTGTGGCTGCAGCGCATTTCAATTGTGGAGCACTTTGTAAGGTTGCTGACAACTATGATGCACGCATGGAATGCGCTTCGGTCCGACTATTCTTTGTGGATGACTGCTTGCTGCTTTCATCCAAGATTGTATCCTCGTCCAACATTCCGCTAAGAACCGCAGCAGCGACGGCATTGCACATGCCGCCAATGAAAGCTCATTTGCCGATCAATAAATGGCCAGCAATGGTCTTCACAGTTGGACATTTTTTGTTCGGCCGTTTCACAGATGACCTGCCTGTTGGGAACGTATTGTCAACATCACACCATGAAAGCGCCTTCCAATAACTCACATGCATTTGAACAACAATCCTTTTGCATTGGCATTAGATGCTGTGGTGAGGATTGCGAACAGCCTGCAAAAGGTCGTGGCTCTGCGAAAGGCCGCGAATCGAATGCACTAGTGTTGCTGCGCCAAATTCCGGGTCATCGTTTGTTCCCGGCTCCCAGCCAATCGAGTCGAAGCGAATCCCAAGCGACATGTTGTTACATTCCTAGCGACAGTACAGTCAATGTTGCAAGGAAGCAGTGTCCGTTGCGTTTTCTTGTGTACAGCTGCTGCTTCTTGCAAGCTCCATTTATTCCCCACACGGCAGCCACCCTGCCATAGTTCCACTGGCCCTCACTCCAGATGTTCCGACTGACCGACACGAGCCAATCAAGCATCCAGGACACGCCATTTGCGGTAACGACAAGCCATGTGCCAGCGTGTCCTATTTTCGATCCCCTCCCCTAGCATCTGAATTAAAAAAGGGTACCTCGCCTCTTAAGCCACATTCTCCAGATAGCCAACATAAGATTCTGGTCGTTTGTGACCCTGCCGTTCTCCCTTGTCTCATGTTCAGCTTCAGCCATCCTCAAGGACACACCGCAGCCCCACTGTAGAGCTCCCCTGCGTTCTCCTTTCAGTTTCACACGCTCCGTCTCCCCACCTCATCGAACCATGGATCCTGGTCCATGGGGATCTGTGGACGTTGTAGGCATCAGCATTTCTTCTCATGCGAGTTACGTAACCCTGTGGACCGTGGCAGCCTTGTCTTCCTTCTTCCTGGCAGCGGTCTTTTTTGCAGGCTTCTTGGACCCCTCTGCTGGCTCGGATGGGAGACCCTCACTGACGGCTTCGGCGCTGGAAACAGGTACAGGGCCTGCAGTCTCCTCTTCAATCCCTGGTTCTTTTGCACCTGATGCAGACATGAATGACGATCTTGGCGACAGGCGACTGTGCGAAGCAGGACACAGGGCAGCAGTGCTGCAGCCTAGGACTGTTCAGACCTACGCTGCTCAACGTCCGACAAGCAGCAATTGTTGCCTGTGACCGTTTGATAAGATGGTTGGTGGCCCTCGCATTGTATCAACGTGATGTTGGCGGCGCCGATGCGAATTCAAGCACCCGCGCTCGTACCAGATCAATGCAACATTGCTACGGTACCCGCACTTGTCATTCTCCGCACCAGCCGTAGACAATATATCAGTCTCTGTGTCTCTTCAGTGAGGATCCCTTCTTCTTCCGCTGACAAGGCCAACGCCGGTCAGTGGGTCAGTGTTTTGGGGTTCCGAAACAAGAAGGGGTCTTCACGGAAAGGACGGAGCGACAGTGGTTCATGCGGCAGCCGCGCTGGGTGCAGCCATTCAGCTCATATGCAACAACTGGGCGCCAGTCGGACACTTCAGTGCCCGAGGCGTCGAGCCCTACCCAGCCAACCTGCATCCTCCTGGTCGCCATCGCCAACACGCCCGCCTGGGAGCCCCTCCTCCCCAGCCAGCTCGACTGCCGCCTCTTCCGCCCCCGTTCCCTCTGCCGCTTCGTCAAAACGCTGCCACTCGTCCACCACCTTGCCTTCGGCCTCGACACTGTGCACCTCATTCTCGCCGGGCTGCCACTCCACCTCTCGAGCATCTTCGTGCTTCACGATGTACTTGTACTGAATGGTTTCCCTGCTCGCGGGCACAGAGGGCAAATGGGGTGAGGGCGAGGGGCGCTCCGATATAAAAGGAGGGCGGCGACCGGCGGTGCCCTTCAGGCAAGAGGCGCAGAAACCAAGGCATCAACTCCCCGGACCGCTGCATGCATGCTTGGCCGCTTGACAGCCGACCATCCCAATCTGATACTGCACTGACATTGCACGCGACCACTAGAGCACTTTCGGCAGTGGCCTTAAACGTGGTTGTCCCCCCGTTCCGTCCAGCCGCAGACCGCAGTGCAGGAATTCCGTTCCAGCGCCAAAACTGGCTGAGAACCTCGCAGGTCCACAACGACTTCAGATCGCAAAATAGCTGGCCACTCGCCCCCCACGCCGGGTCCACGCGCTCACTTGAGGGGCAGCTCGACTTGAGCGGTCCAGATGTCGCCCTCCCTCCACTCCATGACCACCCCGTTGCAGGGGTCCCAGCCGCCGAGGGCCTCCGCGTCACCCACTACGCACAGGCTGTCGCCATAGTCCACGTGGCGCTGCACCTCGAAGGTCACCCCGGCCAGCTCCATCGGCGATCCGTTATCCTGTCGCTTGCGCGCGGCGAAGCATATGTGCGACCTGGACGCCGGAGCGGAGGGGCGGGCCGCATGCGGTATGCCGAGCCTGGCCCTGATCAAGGCGGCGGGCACGGCTCCCGGCAGACGTGCCGACGAAGTCAATCTGACAGCCATGCCTGCGACGCAAAGGCAAGGGTGTGAAACGCAGACACCTCTTGGCAGTGCCAGACGACTCTAAAGCCGTCCCTCCTGTCTCCTTCGGCCCTCGGGCTGCAGTGCCGTGCGATGATTGCCGAAGGTGGTGTTATGTAAGACGTGCGATCTGCGCGAGCGAGGACAACTGTGGAAGCCGTTACTGCGCCCTGCCGCCACACAGGAGCTCATGAGCCCACGACTGCTCAACAGTTTTCAGAATGCGACAAATTCTGCGCTCCGGTCCAATTCTTTTCCTTATCTCTCTTTGCTTCGATCACACGGGTGCACGGGCAGGTTGCAGAGTGACATATCGCGACAACCAGGAGTGCGTTCGTGTGGCCACAGAAAGCCACGAGGATGGGACGGCGAAACTGTTAGCCCTTGCGCGCGGCCGTGCTGTCCTGGACCGTCGTCAAACCGTCAAAGGCACTGGCGCTCTGCAAACCCTGGACCCTCGTTTCGGAGCAGTCTCCTCATTGAACGTGCCCCGTCATATTCCGACTCGGACAACGTCCCCAAGTTGTTCGGTCCCCTCCGCCGGCCAGCCGGCGCCCCTGCTGCTGCAGAAAACGACTTCACGGGCGCCCTAAACGCGTGCCGGCGGCGGACAATTGTCGAATGGGTCGCCGCATTCCCATACACCATGCTACACGCGCGTCGGCAACGCCATCTGCTGTGGTCCGCTCTGATCGTCCCCTGTGTTGCCTGAAGCAAACGGCGCCATGTCCCCGAACAGCCGACGTATCGGCCTCACCCGCCAGCACTCGGGGGGCGCCGCGGCTTTTGCCACCGTGGAGGGCGAAGTGTCCGGAGCGGCACCAGTCCGCCGAAAACGTGGCCTCGCTTTGAGCGAGTGGGTGTTGACGAGGAGCTGCCGCAACTGACACGTGGCATGCGCCGAACGTGACAGTTGAGAGGTGTCTCGTACATATTTCCTGGTTGCAGCCAACTTGGATGCAACTTGGATCCAAGTTGGCTGCACCCAGGAAATATGCACGAGGCGCATGTGGGACAGTCAGTGATGTGTTGACCTTACTGTTGCAGTTAGAACTGATTGAGTGTTACTAATAACTGAATGCATGAAAAGATGGCGAAGTACTAGGAATTGCATTAAGGATGTTGATGAACGCATGGAGTATGAAGGACAGAACGCCTGTTGTCCTTTTGCCTCGGCTGTAAACCGTTGCCGTGGACTCGAGCGTACAATTCCCGTTCAGGGATCGCGACCCCTCGATCCTGCCTGCCTTCCTCAATACCGTTAGTCGCTTAGTCCTGGTACGTCAGGATGGACTCGTGACTTACCTAGGGACATGAAAATGGTGCGTCGCGCTACCCGAGCTGTGTGTTTGTCATCGTGCTAGATTGCGTCATAGATGCCTGACAAGAACCGGTCTGATCGTACCCCAGATGCATGCAGCTGAGAGGAAGGACATTGTGAAGCTACCACTGGAAGATAGTGCGAGGGCCTATGACTGATGAACGAAGAAGCACTGAGGCTCCTGCCTGGAGTTTCCTGCATATTTGGCAGAGTTTTATACCTGCTAATGTGCACAAAGGGACTTCCTTGAATGGCATTGGAATAGGGAGGAAGTTGGAACAGGTGGACAAGAGTTCAGGGCATATCGTGCTGATGAGGAGAACGGTGACAGTCTCGAGGGCGTTGTACGCACTGGACTTGTACAAATTGCAGGTGCACTTGCCCTGGTGACCAAGCAGGATGGACTCTGGAATATGCGCGTCCTGTGGCAACGAAGCACTGTGCCCATACAAGGTTCAAGGGATTTGGAGACGATCTGCCCGAACTGATAAAATGTGCGCTAAAGGCAGGGAGTCTTCCAAGACCATCGTGTGGCTGCCCAGTCGGGCTGGCAAGCCACGGTCTGACATCCATTGTGGGTTACAGGACATGTTCCACACAGATCCAAGGGCACAAATTCCTAAGAAAACAATGCAACCCACTGAAATCCCAACAAAAAAGAGTACACACTAGTTGGAATTGACTAGGGCCACACACAGGTCCAACAAGCATTCCTGAAACTGACTGTGTTTGTTGAGTGACGTGGCGGTGCTCTCTTTGACATTGAGCACGCCTGTTTATCTGAGAATTCCACACAAAGCTCAATTGGCCCTTTACCCGGGCAACCTCTCTATAGCCAAACTGGCCATCTGGAGGGATTCACCACCTATTAGTAAGCACAGCGCACGCCAGCACAAGTTACTCACTCTTGGGATAAGTCTCGCAACTCTCGCTACTAGTATTGGACCATATACATATAGGTTGACACAGATCAATATCAACAATGCACCACCAACTGTTTTCCAAAGTTGGAGCAGTTAATTGATGTTTACAAATACGCCCAACTAATCCTTGGTATTGCTTCCAGGACTATGAACACTGCCCGATGATATCAACATGTCGTCAGCATATATTCTGACGTCCATTTTGTTACTTACGCTGCACACGTCTTTGCACAACTCGGTCATCAACGAATTCTTTGGATAGTTCGTTCCAACTTTTCTGCAATTGACGAGTTTGATTCCTAGTCAAGGGCTTTCCCTGAATTTTCCTTCACTCTTTTGTAGGTCACCCTTTGTAGGAGCTGGCGGGCACTCACTACTCACGGGCTTGGGGACCAGGGTCTCTAGCTCAGAGAACACAAAGTTTTCTTGGGAGTTTTCTCAGTCTGGCTCATACCCCAAATGACAATTAGGTACAGTACTCAGAAAGCCATGTGACAAGATGCAATCAAGTTTTAGTGGTCCTTGTCGTTGACTCTATATTGGCTCAAACTTCACTGGACCTCAATGAAGCAGTGACACCACCCCATCTTCGAGGTAGCACGGCGAGGTGGAATGCGTCCTGCATAATCCCAATCCTTATACTCGATGAACTTCTGCGGGTACTTGCCTGGCCTTAGACTCCGTAGGCTTCCTCAATGGCCTAAGCTTAGACTTCAACAATACTTAACACTAATTTCGGGCCCCACAAGCGTTCCCAATAGATTAGTATTAGTACGTTTCTGTCTTTAAATATGGCACAAGGAGAAAGAATCAAATTATAATTACACTGCAACCCTCCGCGGGCTGCCACCTATTTCACAATCTTTAGTTAGTTTTGTTCACCCGTTGTTCCCCTTGCCTCTCAGCTTGGAGCCAAGCCAGCCCACTTATCCCAACTGGGGAACAACCCCGCTATTTATAGGCCTGCGGAGGGTCCCCGCTTGTCTGAGGTTTTCTCTAGAATATTCTTTGTAGATTCTGATCATTAACAAACAACTTCCCGGATCATCCCTTTCCTGTCCTTTCAGCTTTCTTGATTATCATTTTGATCCACTAACCGTCGCCACCCTTTCCTTCCAACGATCCTCACAGATTGTAAGATCGTAACTATTTACCAACAAGTCACCGTCACACATCCCCATGATCCAAACACCAGTTCCCCATTGATCCCTGAATCTCGTCAGGATCGCATTTAATTTACAGAAACTCACTTCGCACAGCCTCTGCTCACTGGATCCCGCTCACTGAACTACAGCACTTGCTTCCCGTCACATCAGGCATATCAAGAGAACCTATAAATAACATGCCGTCCCTCGTCGTCCGACCCCTGACGCTACCCCTCGCCATCCACGACCGCCTCGACGCCCTCCTGATTCGGCCCCACAACCTCCCCTCCATTCTCGCCACGCTTCCCGCCGCCCGTGGTCACCTGACTCCGTCCTCGCCTGCTTCCCCTTGCCTCCCCCACGGTCGCCAGCGCCTCGATCGCGCCCGTCATTGCTAAGTAGGCGTTCAAATCCAGCACCGCACCTGGCCGTCCGTCACGCCATGGACTCCAACACCCCTTGGGGCCATCGCAGGTCCACCTAGACATGCAACATCCATGGATGGCATGACGAGTCGCGGCCATGTGGGCAGCTCTGCCATGCCCATTCGACTTCGCCATCGTCACCGTCCTAGATCCCGGGCAGTCGCGCTCTCGCAGCCGTGTTCAAGTGCTCCGCTGCAAGTCGCCACCATCGAGCGTGGACCTCTGAGGCGCCCCACAACTCGGAGTCCAAGTTTGCCGTACGACGCCGAAGGTTTCTATGACACATGACACACAGTGGCCGCTGTGGGCGCGCACCCCAAGGTACGAGATGGCACCCTTACATTCGTCAGTATAGGTTGACATGAGTGATGCGTACTCCAGGAGTCATGACAGCCTGCCATGTCGTCCAGTGAGGGATGCAAGTTAATGTTCGGCGCAAAATGGCCGACCCAGGGGTGCGCCTTGTCTCCTCGCTGAACGGCTCAAGGTCGGTTTTCACAGTCATCCCAGTGCTGAATCAGGATGCTGAGCACATGCTTTGCCTATTTCATGATGGGGCAAGTCTGCTTTCATCTTTATGCTTTTTGCGACCATTAGCATCACCTTGATATCTTTCACACAAGATAACTGTTTTCGCTCTTTCTCATAAGATATGAATGTTGATACTAGCTGCCACATCGCAGCTCTCCATTCGCATTCTTTGCTTATCAATAATTATCCACTTTTCTTGGATTTGGATATCATCTGTCTAATGGTATTTGCGCACGATGTCAAACCACTTGCACACAGCTACGGTTTCCTTGAATGGCCACACCTTTTCAGTGCGACTTCCTTTCCAAAATTTACCAGCCTCATTTCTTTTACCTACTTCAGACCTGCAGTCAATACTTCATATCCTTTCTTTTTCTTTAATCATTTTCGCACCAAAGACATTATCCATACGGCTGTGAACTCACAGCCAACCTGGTCACGGCAGACCAGTCCGTCACTTTTCTTGTCCATGGTCACACATCCTGAAACCCTTGTCGCGGTGGACACTCACGTTTTGAAGTTTACTATTTATGACGTTCCTACTACTTTTTGTACTGTACTTTCAAGCAGATTTTGGCCTATGATCATCAGCCACATCAGCCTTGCCAATCACAAGTGCATGAGACGACCAGAATGGCCTCATTACACAGAACATCATCACTAAGTCACACCATCAATCTGTTACTTATAGTATGCCCTTACTACATTCCTTTCACACTTAAAATCTCTCGAAACCACACCGCCATCAATCGCAAAGCTTACCGATAGCCAATCCATAGACATGTGCTGTAACGGCAGCTTTAACCATCTTTTGAGGATCATGCCCAATGGTCCTAGAAAAGGCTCCTTTCATTCACCCTCTTAAACAGAACATAATTCGGAAATCAAACATCCCTACAGCCACATGGCTCAAACTCTTTGCAGAAGCTTCTTGTCCAAGTCCGTACAATGCTTCATACCGACCAGAAGTAGTGCCTGTATCACCAACACTCATGGCTTGGATAATTGTTCCGAATCTCAACAAGCGTGATTTTGAAAAGCTAGCCGTGGCAATGAATTCCCTGACCATGTGCCCACAGAAACTGTGCTTAAACCTTACGGTATGTATACTTTTCTTTTCTGCCTTTTTGACATCTTTTCGGTCACTAATACTACTTCGTTTCCACTGCCTTTTGGCCATGTTTGTCTATCCTTTTTCCTCAAATTGGACTGGTTATCAGTATTGTACCGGTCAGCTTTTCTGTTTCCGTCATCATGACACATGATACTATAATGCTGGTCATTATATTTAACAGAAGTTGCCACAGCTACATCAAGACCTGCCAACACACTTAAGCATCCGATGAAGCCGGCAAGCAAAACTGAAGAATGACCTGTCAAACGCTAAGAAAACGGAACAGCTGGCCAATCAACTATGGCCATGAACGGACAACCAGCGTGATAATATTTCGAACATTGAGACACCCGCTCAATGACGGAGTAAGTATCCAGCGTTAATATGAGAAGTTTCTAACAGTCAACAGCCCTCTGAAATGACATTATTCATATTGCCGGTTTGGGCGTCAGATGCGCTGCCACAGTTTTCGGTCAAACGCTTTGTGTACAAGATTTTATTCTGCAGATTTTCTGGCACAAACTGTGTATGAGCTGACGCAGCGATATGGAATAATGGGGGCAAGTATAGCTAAAAGTTTTAATGCTGCACGCAAAAAAGAAGTATTGAGGATGGGTCCCTTTCATGCCGTAAAGTCAGCATGGGTTGTGACTGATGCTGAAGCTAGCAATTCTCCTACAGTGCTGATCAGAACAGGAAGGGGCCGACCTGAACCGTCCAGCAAATTATATCCCTGCTTTGAGGAAACAAGGGCAGGTATTGACAATAGTAAACGGTGTACAGCAGATCCTGGGAGCTGTGGAATTGACAAGCGCCGTCCGGTCACTTTCCTGTGCACAATAGTGCTTAAAATGGAAACAATACATGAGAGGGGCTGTCCAGAATTGCAGAGGAAATGCGCCAGCGACATTCCCTCCGTTGGGCGCGCCCCTGGTCTATTGGCTTGGATGATCTTCAATGATGCTGTTTGATCATGCTGGGTGCCGTCGACAGCTGCTTGTCCCTGTTTGCAGGAATTCCCATCATTGGTGGTCTTGAACATGATCTCCTTTGAAGTTAAAAGGCTGTAGAGCCGATCGACAAGCCAGTAATGCGTAGCCATGGAGCCCCGATGGTGATCCTGGTTGTTTCACTGCATTAGCATCAGTCGATATTAATTTACGCTGGTCGCTAGATAGCATGGCAGACTGATGTGCACTACTGTGCACTGCATGACTGGACATGACAGTAAAAGTGGGTGGTTTTAGCCCCATTTCTGTCAGTCCTAGTACTGAAGAGTGTACGGGTGTCATCCCATACCTTGGGGCCCCCATCATGAGTCATGGCAACCTTGGATGTCGTACGGCAACCTCGGACGCTGAGTCGCGGGGCGCCTCAGAAGGGCACGTGCGGCGGTGGCGACTTGCAGCGACGCGCTCGAGCATGGTTGCGAGAGCATGGCTGCAAGTCTCAAGCACGATGATGGCGATGGCGGAACTGAATGGGCTTGGAGGTACTGGTCGGATGGCCGCGACCCGTCTCGCCGTGCATGGACTTTGCATGTCCATGTGAAGCTGGGATGGCCCCAAGGGATCCCGGAATCTATGGCGCGATGGATGGCTGGGCGCGGTGCTGCATGTGAAGGCCTGCTCAGCGATAGGGGGCGCGAGCGAGGCGCTGGAACCCATGGCGGAGGCGTGGGGGAGCAGGCGAGGGCATGCTCAGGACAATGGCGGGGGGCGGGATACATGACGTGCACGCGATTGGACAGGAGGCCATGGAACCTAATCAGAAGGGCGCTGATGCGGTCATGGAGTGTGACAGGGGTTCGGACGTCTGGAAGGTTCGAGAAGGATCGATGCTAACGAAGGGGTGACATGACAGCTTAAGGATCACCGGGTTGATCGGGAAGAATCTGAGAAAATTCTGGACGGTTGTGGAATAGCTGGCCGGTCTGTAAATAGAGAGGGGGCCGTCGCTGTAAAGAACAGCCACCCATCGTGGGAGCTGGCCTCCGCCCTGTTGTTTGGACAAAAATGCAACATGTAGCTGGTTGGCCGCGGAAATCCTGGAGTGCCTGCTTGTGTGTGAACGCCTAAGTGCCGTCCAAGTCCAATCGCCACAAGCGATCGACCTCAGGAACGTGCCAGGGGCCGTGTCTGAGAGGGCGGCGACTGGTCCATTGTCGTACAGCGTGTGGCGTGTCGATTTGCGACTTGTGCAACGATCATGACGTTGCATTGCTTTCGCATGGTGATTCGGTGAGCTGCACGAGGGGTTGGCGAACAGCGGTCATGAGAAAACGAACGTTGGGCGCCCTCAAAGCACACTGAAACAAAATGCGGACCCAAAAGCGGACTGTAAAATTTCTGAAGCGAAAGGGTATAAAAGCCTACGGTACACACACACCACCTGTTAGAGCAGCCTCCATCGTAGCTGCCCATTGGGGCTGGTGAGCTGCTGCTGCTGCCTCATTGATGTGAGGATCCAAGCCTTTCACTTCCTCGCACAGTTGCTGCCGAAGCGAGGCACCTCAATTCAGTGTTTGTGAGCAAGCAAGGCTGATCATTGAAGCCAAAATGTCTCCACCGACCAGCTCGGCCTTTGTCAGCCTGGATAACACGTCGATCATTGATCACTGTAGCTAACTTAGATGTAATCAAGCGATGGCTCACTTCACAAATGGCACAGGTCATGGATTCACGCCGATCATCACGCAGCACCTCGATTGAGGGATGGCAACGCCATTTAGCAGCGGATATAGATTTTCTGAAGTAGCTAGGTGGAGGACAGCATTCCATTCCAGCCCGGCTCATGCCACGATCAGCGATACCCAGCTGGATTTAGGGATCACTTTCTAGTGTTTCACCAGGAGCGATCCTGAAGTGTTTGCAACGGAGACCTTGTAACGAGTTCTGGCACCTGAATGTCGCCAATGTCGTGTCTGCGATGACGATGGCCCAAACCGCCCATGATCAGCACAACGGATCACCGAACCGGCGTTCCTCTACAGCTGAAACACATACCTGAGAGCTATTTTCGTTGTTTTACGTTGCTCTGCAAAATTTTATTAAAAGAGCGTTACCTATTTTATTGTTTTCTCCGCAAAAATGGCAAAACCTTATGTTACCATGCGGAGGTGTTTACGAACATACAGTAATAAACCAGGCTTCGCTGGGAAAGGAGATGGGCAGAAATATTCGATGGTGACTGTGGGATGACTAGACTTGCACTCTGGCCGCTGTTTTCTCCTGACGCGATCCGCTTGCGTGTCATCCGCATGATTCTCTTGTTAAATTACAACTAAAAACGATGCTAGTTCCCCTCCGCTCTGTCGCGTCTTTGGGGGTCGTTCTCCTTCCGAGCATGTCAGAAAATTTGCCGGAGAGCCCCCCCAAGAATACAACTACAAAGACGGCCCCCCAGCGTCCAACAACCGCCCGTACAGAGTGTACGCCCTCACTCGCTCCACCCGCACAGCCACCAGCCGCCCCTTGAGCGCCTCCCCATCCCCCTCGAAGAACACCACCTTGTTGTGCCTGCTACGGCCCATCGCCTGGCCGCCCTCCCTGGGGTTGGCCCCCTCCACGAGCACCTCCAGCTCCCTGCCCGCAAAGCGCTGCGCCCGGGCCTCAGCCACCTCGTTCACCACGGCGTTCAGGCGGTTCAGACGATCCTTCTTGATCAGGTCGGCGACCTGATCCGGCCGAAAGGCTGCGGGGGTGTTTGGGCGTGGGGAGTACGCGGCCGTGTTCACACGGTCGAACCCCACCCTCTTCACGAGGTCCACCGTCCTCATGAACTGCTCCTCGGTCTCGCCCGGGAAGCCCACTATGGCGTCGCCGCTTATGGAGGCATCCGGCATCCTGCGGCGTATGTTGTGGATGATGTTGGCGTACCTGGCGGCCGTGTAGCCCCGCCGCATCTCCCGCAGGACGTCGTCGTCGCCGCACTGGAAGGGGATGTGGAAGAATTCGCACATCTTGGGCAGTTCGGCGCAGGCCTGGATCAGGCGCTCCGTGAAGTACCTGGCGCGAAGGGGTGCTCGCTTCGTCAGGGAGGAAAACTTGCCGCGCGTTGGGCAGAGGATTCATTGCAAGGAGAGAAGAATGCCGTGCGACTGGGCGCCACACTGCAGAGCGAGACCCGTGATGCTATTTTTCTTGCAATGGAAAAGGGATTGAAACGAAATTAGTAAAGTAGAAACAGAAATCTGAAGACAAGATATGAAATAGAGGAGAGGTCCTGGAAGCCCAGAGCGTATTGGGAATGTACGCAGCACAGAGTACCACGTTAGAGAAGCGGAAATGAACCACATGAGGTCAGTACAATCGATGGTCTGAGCACCAGAGCAATGCAATGCAGCTCAACAGCACAGCAACAGGTACCTGGGGTGCGAAGTCGCAAAGCGTATCCGCTCAATGCCTGGCACGTCGTGCACGTGCCGCAGCAAGTCAGTGAACGTCCACGCCCGACGACCTGAGGCATCGGACGCCATTCCAGGTAAGTCACGGCCGTACGCATCCACATTCTGGCCCAGGAGTGTCACCTCCTTGTAACCTGCGGCCCCCAGGGCTGTCATCTCCTTCTTGATGGCGTCGGGCGTGCGGCTCTGCTCCTTGCCCCTGGTGTTGGGCACCACACAGTAGGTGCAGCGCTCGTTGCAACCATAAATGACATTCACCCAGGCAGTAATGTCTGAGCCCCGTCGGGGCTGGGCGATGTCCTCCATGATGTCCACATCCTCAGTGGCCACCACTTGGGCCCCCAAGTCCACGCGCTCCAGGAGCTCCTCGATCTTGTTGGCGTGTTGGGGCCCTGCAAAAGTAAGCCCCACATTGTGAGTGCTTGCGAATTGCCATAACTAAAAATGCATGGAGAGGGGTGGCAACAAGTGCCAAATGAATGACTGACATTTGGTCAGAGATCACAAAGCAGCCACACAGCTACACAGTAGTTTATACATACATTGGTATCAGAACACATCACTGTACTTGATGTTCATTCAATCATCATCTTTACATGCAATTTGCAGTGTTGCCATGGGGTTTATGACCGGTGGTGGTGCCTCGTGCTTTTCCAGAGTTGACAACTCTTCAAGAGCTGCTTGGGAAACCAACGCCATTTCGCTGTCAGCATAGTTCTTAACATCGGGACAACATCTGTGCTTGTGCCCTCATGAATTAACAGAGCGTAATCGAGTTATCGTAACAATAAATTTAACTGATCCACTGACGCCAACGCGATGCTGAGCATTTCGTAATACGAACTCCGTGTGTAAGGCACACAGTGTGGGGAGAGGTACATGGATTGACCACAACGTACTTCACTATGTTAATTCTGAAAAGAAACTTGTGTGCCGCTTTCAAGTGTGGGTCATGCTGGCTATATGCATCTACAACGCAATCCCAACACAACTGTGCCTTTCCAATCAGTGCCTGCCCTTACCCATGACCAGATCGACCTCTGGCATTCGTCTGAGTAGCTGGTGTCCTTCCTGGGAAGCAACGCACCCAGCAACGACAATCTTCAAGTCACTCTCTTTACTTCTTTTCCTTTTGGCCTGCATACGGACACTATGCATTGGTCCAAAACTCTGCCACAGGTGTGCACAAGACACAATGCAACCAGCATACTTCCTGCAACCATTCTTTGTTGTTCCAGGCCCAATTCCATGAATCACCCAGAGGCCAGATCGATAAATACCCCTCTCTCTTGTTGGACAACCCCAGACCAAGGAGCTTGGAAAATGTGCGTTGCTGCCATGGTGCGGCTGGACAGACTGGCATACACATGACACTAGTGTTCAGCAACAAGATATGATGAACTTCACCAGATGTTAACACCAGGCCCAATATTGGCTGAATTTTGTGTACACATGGGCACAAGACAGGACAGAAGACAGTCCACACCTGCATTCCCAGTGCAGAGTACACCTTGCTCTCAGCCTTTTCCCTTATGGAGCAGGTGTTGTAAATGAGCAGATGCGCATTTTCTGGGTCTTCCACATGCCGATAGCCAATCCCTTCAAGCACTCCAGCCATGCGTTCAGAATCTGCAATGTTCATCTGCAGGACATATGCTTCGTCAAAAAGTCGACTCAAGAACATAAAGTAAGAATTCCTAATCTTTTGTCGCAGCAAGCACAACGTCAGCAAGCATGCAAAACAGCAAATCCACTTCTGCTATGGCCTTCCGATGGGTTTGGAACATTCTGTGTCAAGGAAGCCCATGTTCTCTCAAGGGTCAGCTGTGCAACTGCAGATACCATCCCAGAGAAAGTGGAGTCTGCTAAACATAGCAGGGGGGGCGGGGGCATCTCCATCCCAACTTCAAGGTTGCTATGCGCAACCAGCACAGACGATGGGGCCTTGCCACAGCACACCAGCAGACGCGCACACTGTGACCATTGAATCGAATCATACAATCAATATCATGTCGTGCAAGATGCAATCGATCATTGTGGACATCAGGAGTTGCATCCAGATTGTTCCACAAATGCACATTCTCTGAGCAACTCCGAGCGATGGGAAGATCCTGAATATGTGCTACCATTTTGGTTGAACTTGAATTGTGCCAGGAAGAGCAATAGTTGGGTTCTGGCTCAAGATGGCTTTAAGATGGCATTACTCAGCATATACAGGAGGACTCCTGCATCAGTGTGTCTTTGTCCCATGCATACCCTGGCATGGATACTGGCATCTCCTTGGCATCTCCGATGGATACATGTAACAACTCCTTTGCGAGCATTTTCAACACCCAACAACTACTGTTAGGTGCTGTGCTTGGTCATGTCTTTGGCATGTGTAGCAACTGAGAAATACACAGCCTGGCCAATTGACAAATGGGAGGCAGGCAGGTGTGGCCAAGCCAGATGCCACACAGTGAGAACCTGTCCAATGCAAATGTGAAAACATGAACTACGACAAAGTTGAATATGCGGGTCCCTGTGTCCAGCAACACGGAGCCAGGCCCATCAATACCTGAGGGATACCGATGGCATAGTTCATGCTCAACGATGCTCAGCATGGTAGTTCTCCATGTGCAAACCCGTTCTTGACAGCTGCTACAGAGACCTTGGCAATATCTTGACTTACGATGCAAGGTTTGCAGTGTTTGGCACGCCAATTATTGTGACGTCCCCATAGACAGCTAGATGATATGATGATGTCTCGTGATCTAAGTGCAGTAGGGGGCACATTCTATCATCAGCTGGTTGTTATGCACAGTGCATGCAATGCCTGCATTTGTGCTTTACTGCAGCCGCATCATGCATTTGACAAAACAGATGTTCCTGATCCACACCAACGCCAAGGAGGGGTTAAGCTGGTGCCAGTAGCAGCCACAGCCAGTGCCATTGTCATGAGTTCCATGAATTGTCATGAGCTCCATGAGTTCCATCCATGTACCTGGCATCCAAACGTGTGAATATGGTAATTTTTCCCATTCCCAGATCCATTCTGCGCGCCGTTGCCTCGAACCAGCACTCGACCTGCCAACACCCATCAGGCAATTCATGTGCCAGTGTGTTGCATGAAGGGCCAGCAGTCCCAACCCATGGCTGAGGGTCCCATCATCACAGACAACCACGTGACAAACAGTGCAATGACGGTGAGCATCAGAACAGCGGACAAACTTCATTAGCACCAACAACACTTGTCCTAATACCACTGCTACACAGACAATCGCCTGAAGCCTCCCTGACGAACCGCAAGCCTGACAACTGTTGTCCCACAGGTGCCAGCTCGGCAATGGGCTATGACCACTTCAAGCTCTTTGCTAAACTGCAAGCCCTCCGGCAGCTTGGTTCCGGGCTCAAAATGCGGTGAATACCAAGAGCTCGCGGCTGCACATAATTGCACGCCATGCATCGCCCTTATGTGAATGCACATAGGCGAGGATTAAAAATCGAACTGGATTGCTCACCCTCTGCGCCGCAGAAGTCTGCTGTCGACGGCTCCGATCCCTGCCTCGCGTCTGCCGGGGCCGCAGGCGTGGCCCGAGCGGGAAGTGGCGCCTTGGGCCGTCGCTGCGCCGGTGCGCGGGCGCCGCCGTCGACGGGTCGCCGTCCACACGGCAGCCGCGCCGAAGGGCCCACCGCCAGAGGCATGTGGGTGCTGGAAGGCCACGCAGCCGGTAGGGGAGGGCGCCGCCCACTGGGGCTTGCCCTTGGCTGTCCCGGGAGAACAGAGAGCAGCCCCCAGTGCGCGGTGGCGACAAAGTTGCCCCACACAATTGACCCCGCGAAGAAAATTCAAATTGTCCGATCCACGTTCTCCGTCGGGTCGCGTCGTGGCGCACCGTTTTCGCTGCTGCGATCCATTAAAATTGCCTTTGACGATACGAAGCGCTCTTGCACCTTTTAGGCGATGGCGGGCGGGCGTACATCCAAGAACGCTTTTGCGGTCCCCATCTATTCATTTTATCGGCTCGCTTCCCGTGTTGTCAGACATTGCCACATGATGTCCCGAACGCGGTTCTCAGCAATTCCGGAACGTTTGAACAAGGGCGGAGACTGCTCCAAGTGGGCATTTGACAATGCCGGCTATTTGGGGGGCAAGAGACTTTCGGGAAACGTTGGTGTAGGACGTTGCACCTGGTAGTGCTTTGATTTGGTACTCCGTTGTGCACTTTGTTGTGCAGTGTTCCGTTGAAAGCACAATGGGCTGTCTGTTGGCCAGAAGAAACGGCGGTCATGTTTTTGGCACCCAGTGTTGTTGAATACGCACTATATTCTTTTACCAGTCCATTCAGCCAGCCCCATTATCTCCTTTCCTGGTCACAGTCCTTCGTACTTGCATTAAAACATCACGCATTACTTCCGAGGCTGGCAAGGTTCTAATATCCATTGTGCTCCCTGGTTGGCGATGGCGTTCACTTCTTGTGGCCCGCTCAAGGATGCTGTCCTACTACCGTCGGACTACTTTGTAGATGTTTTTGAGACTGAACATATTGCCAGCTGCTTCCAAGAGGCGTTGTGCATACGGCATGACAACAAGGCACAAGCGGTGTACAGACACATGGCCGTTGCAGTCGTCAGCTCACAGATGCATGGCTTCTCTGTCACAAAGAAGCTGCGACAGAGGTGTGAGCACAGCGCACCAGTGCATTGCCCCTTTTCGTTACCCCTTCGGGCAGGAATTTGTGGGCTACTGTCATTGTTGATCATGAACTGCGCCAGCCTTGCGGCAGAAGCTGTCTTATGAGCAGCGAAAGGAATTCCGATTGTCCTAATGCAATGAATTTTGACGATATACATTAAAAAGATATTGACAACGAGTCAAGAATACATTTGCTTCATGGAATGCAGTGAGCGTGAATATTTTGTGATTTGGACCTGTAATAATGCGAGGATGTCGCCACTTGCAGCACTGGTAACATTTCTGGAATAACTCATTGTGCTACAGTCTCTTGCGCATTGTTTGATTCATTCTTGACTGTCAGCATTCAGCATTGGCGTTTGAGTTGCTAAGGCGTCCCTCCGCCCCAAGTCAAATTGCTCCATCGCTGCCGGCTGAATTGCACATTGTTCGTCCTTCACCCCGGCAATTGCCGTCGCAGATGCAGGTGGACCGGGAAATGCCAAGACGATTGACAGCAGGGGAGAGGGCACGGAAGGTTTTGGCATCCCGGGAAAAGCGCGCTTCACTGGCGAGAAGCGCTGTGGCGAAAGATAACCACAGAAGGGCGACGCAATGCCAGAAATCTGGCAGATGAAGGTGAGAAGCATGCTGCATCGAGGGCATGCTGAGCGCCTCGGCCTCAGCGCTGAAAGTTGGAACGATGGGTGGTGCATACATGTAGGGAGACCGAATCGACCTGCATTATGCATTCAAGCTGGAGAGCGTGTTTGGAGAAAACAGGAGTGACGGCGAGAAAGGTATTTCGCAAGGGATTGAAGCGTTACTCATAATCCCGAGCAGTGTGGGAGATTGGCATACCTTGGTGGTGCGCATGGGCAGATCGGTGAACGGAATGAGGCTGAGGTTTTGGAATGAAGGAGCACATACCATGGGCCGGTCACTCACCCGCCTTGAAGCCAATGACCATGAGGGCAACTCACGCAATGTCCAGATACTACACAAGTGATGTGGATTCTAAACAGCCTCGTTGTGCTTGGATGCAGATCGAACGAATATAAGGTCACCGGCAGGAAGCACCGATGTGGCGATGCCAACTGGGGTACTTTTTTTGGAAATAGCTGGCGCCATCACGGTGGTGGCAGTGGAAGCAAGTTTACCTTGACTTCCACCTTAGCAGTGAAAGCATCAATGTTGTGAAATAGAACCGCAGTCGGCAGAGCCAAAGTAGTACTATCCAGGCTTGGTTTTTACGTCGTAAAAACTGATCGTATTTATGTATTTGCGCGTAAAAAAAGCTTTTATGTTTTTACACATAGAAGTGTGTAAAAATACGTAAATACAACGTAAAAACTGCCCGGTGTACATCAGGACAGTACATACAGAATTGCGGAGTCAGGAGAGTGGCAGCCAGGGGCCCTGGAAGGGGCAGAAAACGAATTTTTGTTAAACGCCATCATCGCCCTTGCCAAAGGCGAGGTGGACATTGTGTTCGGGTGCTGGAGATGGCGGAGGACTGATGATTGTACGCAACTGTTATCGTGTAACCTGGCTGTTCCAGGGAGCCGTGAAAACGTAAAAATAGCTGTAAAATAAACCCTTTTCCAAGTTTACGTTTTTACGCATAAAAACGTAAAAGTGAAAACGTAAACATAAACGCAAAACCAAGCCTGGTACTATCTACTGCTGGGTGTTGCGAGGTCATCGATTCGGATTTCTGGGTCAAGGGTATGGCTAACTGCAAATGGGGCGTCCCTTGATGATTTTGCAATTAGCGAGAGACCTGCCGAGTGACTCATCAACATTGTTCAGACTGTGAACTACAGACGCAGTGGTTTCGAGCGATTGCCGCCTTTTCCTGCCTTCCAGTAAGGATATCGCGACACTATGCCATGGTTGGATGCAAGCCTGCGATCGCGCATGCAAAACGCCGAACAGTCCCAGCAAGCTGGGAGCGGCTGTGTCGACCTGTCGCAACCTGTAGTAAGCAGGTTTGGTCTTACGCCGCAGCAAGGTGTGTTTAGTAAATACGCGTATTCGCGCGTGACAATGATACTTTTTTACGCTTGAAACGCATAAAGAGACTGGTTCTTAACGTTCACCGCACCATTTTTACTTTTTGTGTTTTCAACGCGTAAAAGTGCGTAAACAGAGAAAAGCCAATTTTTCGAGGCCATTTTTAGGTATTTTCGGCGCGCATACACACCCAGGTTACATGATGACGTGGTAAACAATGATCAATCTGCTGCCGCCCCTTCGAGCACACGCAACACAGCATTCACCTCACCCTGGGCATGGGCAACAACGTCGTCCAACAAACAGTCGTCCTCTGCCCACCTCAGCGCGTTTGGCTGCCGCTCCCCAGACTCTCCGAATTTGAATGTACTGGCTGTATATTCACAGGCCTGTATTTACGCATTCTTTTGCACGTTTTCGCGCATAAAATGTGAAAGTTATTTTACATGTAAATGCGTGCAATACAGCGTGTTTTCGCCATAAACGACCCCCCTGGAACGCACCCCCGCCTCTGGAAACATCATGCTCCACAATCTGGATCAGCCCCCACCATGCGTTTGCTCAGGAATGGGAGTGGTTCGTATGCGTGGGGTGGATGGGTGGGTGGGTTGTGCATCGATGGTCGGGAGGGGGGGTCCAGGACACCTTCTCTTCCCCGTCGCAGACAATGCTCCACCCACCACGATCCAATGGTGCCGTTAACAGTACTGACCATGCATAGGGAAACCACAAAGCCCGACGACCAACAGCACAAGCAAGCCCGTCTCCGTCTCCATCGCCATCTTCGTGCTCTTGGCCGCTGTTGTACCTGGAATTGATCGAGTACGATTCAGAGCTGCACGCATGAAAAGGTGATGAGGCATCAGGAATCGCATTAGGGACATTGATGAACGGACTGGGTACAAGGGACAGAGTCCCCGTTGTCCCTTTTTGCTTGGCTGTAAACCGTTGCTGCACAACACACGCGTGCTCGAGCCTGCAGTCCCCAGTCAGGGGTCGCCACCCCTCGACCCTTCCTGCCTATGTCACCTCACCATGCTTATCATCATCAAGAATTCTTACATACGAATGCGAGGAGGCGGTCCCCAGCTCCCCATTCCGCCCGAGCAAAGCAATGTCCATGAACACGGCCCCCCCCCCAGGATCATCATGCACACGCCCCTCCCCGAGGTCATCAAACCGCTTTTCTACCGATTAAACACACCTCGCCCCAAATTGGTCCCGGCGCAGCAGCGCGCCCCACCAAGCGCCGGTGCCTGGCCAAATCTCCGCGCGCGAACGCCAGGCGCGACCGCTCCCCCCCTCCCCTCCCCCCGCCCTCTCCCCACCCTACCCCACCCCCCTTTTTCCCGAATACACAGGCGCCCATCCGCCTATTGACGGCAAGCCAGCGCGGCCGGCACCGATAGGCCTCCCCAGGCGCCCCCTGGCCCCCCTTGGGCGCGCAGTACCCAGCCTCCGCCGAGGCGCCGCTCCGGCCGTTCTCGCCGGTTCAGGGACCGCCCCCCCGTGAGGCCGGGACGGGGATCGCGCCGGAGGGCCGCCGGAGACGAGCCGGTGTTTAACGCATCTGCGGCAGGGCCGCCGGCTGGCTGCCCTCGGGGCGACGAGGGGTCCGGGCGGGTGCGGGCGGGTGGGGCGGGCCGCGAGGCGGTGCGGGACATCTCCCCGGCATGGGCACGTCTTCGATGGAGTGGCACGTGATGCAGTGCTTCGGGGAGCGCCTGCCCGGGGAGGAGGTGAAGGACGTGGACATAATATCGGCGATGGAGTTCGACGCGGGGGGCAACAACTTTGCGGCGGGCGACCACGGCGGGCGGGTGGTGCTGTTCGAGAAGGGGGAGCGCAAGCCCAAGGCCGTGGGGCCGGACAGCAGGCCCAGCGGGCGGGCCGAGCCCAACTTCGAGTACCGGTACCTGACGGAGTTCCAGTCGCACGTGCCGGAGTTCGACTACCTGCGCAGCCTGGAGATCCTGGGCAAGATCAACAAGGTGCGGTGGTGCGAGCCCAACAACCGCTCCCGCCTGCTGCTGTCCACGAACGACAAGACGGTGAAGCTGTGGCGGATCTGCGAGCGCAAGGTGCGGCACCTGTCGGACTTCAACGTGAAGAACGTGAAGGGGGTGGAGGGGCTGATCGGATCTGTGCCGAGAAAGAGCGCGGAGGGCAAGGAGGGGCGGGGGCTGGATCACCCGTCCCAGTTGCGGCTGCCCAGGGTGGTGGGGACGGAGAGCGTGCTGAGCTCCTGCTGCCTGAGGTCGTACGCCAATGCCCATGTGTACCACATAAACTCCGTGTCCCTGAACAGCGACCAGGCCACGTTCCTGTCCGCGGACGACCTGAGGGTGCACCTGTGGAACCTGGAAGTGTCGGATACGAGCTTCAACATGGTGGACATGAAGCCCAACAACATGGAGGACTTGGAGGAGGTGATCACCTGCGCAGACTTCCACCCCCACCATTGCAACATTTTCACCTTTGCCAGCAGCAAGGGCATCATCAGGCTGGCGGACATGCGGAAGTCTGCCCGCTGTGAGAGCTACGAGCAAGTGATGGGGATAAAGCTCAACCCAGAGGGCAAGTCGTTCTTTTCTGAAATGATCAGCAGCATATCAGACCTGAAATTCAGCGCCGACGGGAGGTACATCCTGGTCAGAGACTACATGACTCTCAGGTTGTGGGACATGCACATGACCACCGCTCCGGTGGCGACTTACAACGTGCACGAACAGCTGAGGTCGGGTCTGTGCCAGCTGTTCGAGAACGATGCCATCTTTGACAAGTTCACCTGCTGCTTCAGTCCAGATGGACAGCACGTTGCAACGGGGACGTACAACAATTTGTTCCGGGTGTTTGGGCGCGGCGATGGGACGAATATGTGGCAGGAGTCGTCGTGGGAGTCCCAGGCTCAGGTGGGGGACGCGGTCGAAGGGAAGACAGGCAAGAGTGTGTGCCCAGCAAATGGATTGGCTGTTGATAACCTCAACTCTTCATCCAAGATTTTGCATCTCTCCTGGCATCCCAGTCAACCAGTGATGGCGGTGGGCGCCTGCACAAGCCTCTACTTGTTCTACACCAGCTAGTGTCAGTCAGAGGCAAGAGAGGAGTTGTGGGCACTCTGCACTACTTGCCACACATCGACACCAGGCCAATGCCTTGCAGCTGGGCTGCCCAGCGTGGGGCGTGTGGCCTTGTGGGAAGGGGGCGTGCTGGGTGATGCTATTTAAGTTAGGAAACTCTTCAGCCCGGGATGTCGGCTTCCACTGCTATGTTGAGGGTGGCTTCATGAAGATCGAAGCCAAACGCATCAAGTCGGGTTGTACACAGACTGTGCTGAGGTGTGGGTCGAATTCTTAGCTTGTAGGCTAGATAGTGAAGGCTACAGGATTTCTCGCGTTTGTCTTTTATTCGTGGCGGACGTGGTGTGTGGCAGGGGCGTCCGAACTACAGTGGTTCCCATGTTGCATAGATGTTGTCTGTCCAGTCCAACCTTTCTGTGGCCAGGTCAGGAGTGGAGTGCATTTGCTGGCTCTTTCGCGGGACTGATGCCTTGCAAACATTTTTGTCAGCCATGGTATCGATTCTGCAAAATAACAACTGGACAGCCCAGTGACTGCTGATCAGCTGTGTGGTGTTTGGCATCCATCCTGTGCACGACTACACCATCGGAGGAGCGCCGCCCCTTGCACTCTGTTGATGCATGTGCTGGTTCTGTCATCGTTCCATGTCCAGCCCCTTGAAGGGGTCGCTGGGCGATTGGCAAGTCGATAACGGATGTTGGGCCCGTATTGCAAACAAGTGGGACACTATTGATGCTGGAAAGCTGGTGGCTGGGGGGGTCGTGTTGGTGACCCTGTCGAGTGAGATATAAGAGACGTGGGCAGAATAGGTGTGTCAGGCTAACCGGCACTTCATGTTGAGCCTCGCCTTCACCTGCTTTTGTGCTGTCGTGGCACTGCTGGCTCTACAACCCACAGCCCAGTGACACAGTGCACAACTCCTCACCTGCGCAGCGCAAACTGTGGATCCTCACGCTGGACAGGATTTCGAATGGGGATTTCTGTTGCATGACAGTGGGGTGCTGTTATTGATCCTGGGTCGCTAGCGATCAGCGGCACTGGTGCACACGAAGACCATGGCACACGAAGAATCAGGGTGGCCGTTTCCGCCACTAAGGCGGGTCCCAGTGCGTGTCGGCTGTGATAGCTGCACTGGCCTCTATGCTGGAGCTCTGGTGGCCCTCACAAGGTCTCTGCGTCGTCGGCCAAGGAAGTCAGTGCTTGCCTTCCTGCATTGAAAGACGCTTTTACTGTGTCCCACGTTGAGCGAAGAGTTCAGGTAGAGTCTGCCAGATGGTGCGCTATTGGAAGGTGGAACCACGGCCACGGTTCTGGCAGGGGTGCCATTGCTGGGAGCGACGTTGGAAGGGGGTCGCGCTTGTGGTTATCGGACGGGGTGCCCCGAAGAGTTGGAATTGAGGAGAAATTTGAGACCAGGGGGCCCACTCACTATCATCATGTTCATCATCATCGCCCCTTGATCTTGCCGTCGCTGGGGAGTAGTTTGCTTGAGAGGTATTTGGGATGGGACCACTCAAGATGGAGGACGAACAGCCTGTCAAGAAAATGTTGTTGTCTGAAGGCTGGACGGCGCAACCAGCTCTGCACTGTGCGCTGAGCCGCTCCAAAGAGGGCGGGTCCGATGCAGTTTGTGCAGCCCTCATGGCCACAGGCAATCTGTTTCCCTGTTGAGCTGCATTGCGCAACGTGCGTGATCTGCGGTCAGTCAATGCACTATCAGCACAACTGAGTAGCGACGAGGTATAGCGACTTCAACGGTGAAGCAATGCACAGCAAATTCCAAACAGTGCGCTCAGCGTGCTTGCGTTGGGAACAGCACGGTGGACACTCAATAGCCAACGGCGCTTGTGCTCTGGCGTTTCCTGTTTTGCACTTCACACTCAGACCTTGCGGGAAGAAATAGAAGGCAACCGAACGGCGGCCATCTTTTCAGCACCAGGCCTGCGCATGTGGCTTGCCACACATGTTCCAGCATCATCTCGGCAATGTCCCTTTTGCATTGCGCCGCGCCCCACACGAAGTCAAGCTTCGTTTGGGCGGTGGGAACCAGGGCAAAACCCTCCCGGACAAGGTGGATGCAAGACTTAACACTTGGCAGCGTTCTTTGGCACCCGCCATGCCCCAAAGCGTTCTGGAAGCGCTGTGAAGCAATGAGTGACATACACAACATTAATCAATCAGTACGTCAAAGGCAGCGAAGGACGACATTGGCTGACAGCGCAACACGATTTGTGTCGCTGTCTGATGCTCCGGTTCACCAAACGCTCCATCCTCGCGATGCTGAACTGTGAATTCTTAGACCTAATGCATTCATTCTCTTGCGGCTGATCTTTTGGGGCTCGCCCTACGCTGTCCAGTACGACGGTGTGAGGTCACACGATCCCCATCCGCGGGGGTAGTGAAGACGTGGAACCTAAAGTTTGGAGAGTGCAGGTCGGTGTCACAATCACGAACTGATCTGAATATCTTCTAAAGACTGCGTGGGGCACTTGTCAGTCTTATGTTCGAAAGGTGGCACCGGCGTGATCACTGAACCGATCTGATGTGCCTCAGGTAGCGCCAGTGGAGCAGGACAAAGTCAAGTCGCGCATAGATATATCCTGTGAAAAGGGACGTCCAACGTGTATGTCCTGTTGATCTGCACTTCTTCGCCGGTGGCTGATAGAAGCGGCCCATAGGCGAACAAACATGCTGAATGTACTGTCGAATCAGTGTCGTTTGAATGGTCTCCCTACAAGGCTGTTAGCAAGACATTCCTCAAAACAAAGCCAGCGCTCAGATGCGGTCGGGATTGGCCCATCCCAAGAGTGTTGCGCTTCCCGTTGTGTAATTCTTTGGCAAAGCTGTCAATCGTTGCCCCCCCGGCAATAAGTCGCCAGTCATTTGCGGCTGCAGTTTTCCAAGCCCACTCAACTCCTCGGTCGTTACCCTCCTATGGCCAATACAAATTGATGGATATACAGCCAAAAGCTTGAGACGATTCTACACGTCGACAACGGCTTCGACTGTGTTTCTGAAACCGCGCACATTCGTTGCGGAATAGAGAAAGAGGGTCAGGAAAAACAGGGCTGTTCATTGTGTGACAAGTCGATGGCAATGCACCGGAAACGCTCGCACCACCAGTCCCAAATACATCCAGATCCGGGCTCATGGCCTGTGGCTCACGGTTGCGATTATCACGTGTATGAGCAGCTGCCCAGAGAAAGTGGCAAATTTGAATGAGCAGCGCAATCGCGGCAAGGGCGGTATGCTCTGGCCTTGCGCTTGCAGCATCGCCTCTAGACTTCCACAAAATCCACAGCTTCACGATCCATAACATGTGGGTGGGAATCCCCAACCCACCACATCCACCCCGCCCACCACCACTACTGCCGCCAAGCCAACTCACGCCCCACCCCACACCATCCCCACCCGCCAAGACCGGCGAAAGCAAAAGTTGCCTTCAGATGTCTGAGTCCTATGCCCTGTTCCTTGTATCCTGCGTTTGATTTCTTATCGTCTCCAACACAAGCACCTTCGCAAATCAACAATCTTGCCCACAGCGCACTCATGGGGCCAGGGGGCGCCATTGAGGATGTCACGCATTTATCACAAAATTTGCACGATAAATATTTATTATTTATGATAAATGAGTGGCCTCCTGAATGGCGTCAACTATAATTGATATTCACATGCACAATGTGCATGGATGCGAATGACAGTGGGACGCCGAAGGTCATCAGGGAGCCTGGCTGTGAGGGAAATTGCTCCTTCAGCAATCCTATTTTGTACTGGGCGGTTGGGCCCTTGGCTTTCCACAGCGTTCGGGGCTTTGCCAGCTTCGCAGCAAGATTTCGACTACAAGTGAGTGTAAACAATGAGCCACTTCACGCGCTGGGTTCCTCACAGCTACTTGGCAACTTCGCACAAACTTACCACTGTATCTGTTCCGGTGACACCCTGGGTACTTGGCTCATTGTGAGCCGTCCCCATGGCGCCATGGAGAGGCAGGCCTGCCTGCGTAAGCGCATTGAAATAATGCAAGGGAGAAAATAGCATACGACAGAGTAACGTTCATGAACGGCAGTGTCATTGGGATACGCGTCCTCGTGAGCGTATACTATCGTATGCTGTTCGCTATTGCACTGTTGCTCCAGTATTTGCTACATTCAAAAACTACTAATTTACACAATTGCTGATCTCCCGCCTTCCGTTAGGAGGAGTTCTCAGGCACGCTAACAGCACTTGCAGTTGTGCCCATCGCTACGGTGACTTCCACACACATGTGTTTTGTGACGTGATTCCTGTGCCGTCTGACTTTCTCAGCTGCGCTCTTAGTCATGTGTTACTTCACAACGGCTAAGTCTCCACGTTTATTCGCCAAGCTAATTCCCTGCGTTCTGTACACTGATCACGAATATGTCCATTTTTTCCCCTTGCCCCGATGCATCCTTTGCAGTGGCGGTGCTGTGGGAGTTCAAGAAAACGGGCATTAGCATGCCAAAAAAGATGACCTGTGTAAGCGCCCTGGTGCCAGTTGTCTTGAATGCAGCTGGCCTCCATTTGAAAATTGCAATTCTCAAATATGGACTGGAGGCTAAGTGTGCTCATGTGCGTAACTGTTGTCATGGAAAACCGAACATGGATGACAAATGAGCCAACGGCTGCAGAGCACTGCAATACGCGCAAGACGGGGGATGCCTTCTCTGTCTTTATGTTTTTTGTTTACGGCTTAAACACAGCGTACTTACATGCGCATACATGCAGGCATTTGCCCTGAATATGCGCATTTGTACATAAGAATGGTTCTGACGTTTCTGCGCCTAAAAGCCCGTAGAAAACGTCAATCTAGGCCCTGTGCAAATATACCCTAGGCTGCCTGGTCAATCAGTGAGTGATTGTCGCCCTTTCTCGCCATGGGGTGCAGGGAAGTGTTCGGGCCGTCCGCCAAGCACTAGGCCGCAGTATGTAAATGTGGCGCCCAGGCCTTTCATGCCAGTATAGTCGTGCAAGTCCGCAAATATGGCCTTAAACGAATCCATAATCACAAACTTGTCCCACTTCGATATGGAACACCAGATCTGGCCAGTGGCGCAATGTCAGGCGTGTTCCTTTAAATCATTGTTCCCTTCTACCCTCACCAGAGTTAGACGATATTTGCATTTGGCACATTCCCTCGCGTTCAGTTAGGGAACGAATCTGCGATCTTTGCTGAAGTGACTGCAGTGGTGGCATTCTCGGCCATCCAGTGCGCTACCAATGACTCACGAGCAGTGAAGATCACCTTGAATGGCGTGTTTCAAACCAATCTGGTACCAGAAAGTGCAAAGCATCCAGTACAGATTGCTGCCCACTTTGGGGCAGCCCGGACGACACTGGAAGCAAAGCAGGGCCTCAGGGCACAAGGTCAACGCCACAAACGGGGGAAGGTTCCCCAACTTGCGGTGCCTTTTAGCGCTTTGTTCGGATGCAGCATTTTGTGACCATGACCAATAATTGATCTTTTCGAGCTCCGTCTCAATTCTCATGTTAATCTGTTTTGAATATTGTCCTTGCTCACCGTAGTTACGTTAATTATAATGCATGAGGCCAAGATTTAAAAACAGCTGCGGCCATCAACAATTCTCCAAAGAAATTCAGCAGCCAAAATGGCCCTTGGTTGATTGGGTTGACAGATCGAATCTGTTGGGGCAACGCAGGTGTCCCAGGCTGATACGCCTGGTGTTCCGGAAGTGTTCTGGAACACTCAGCGTTCCTGCCTGTACCGCCCAGCATCGCTCTCAAAACGGGCGCCCTGCGGCCCAGTGTTGGGCTTAAGATTGCTTAAGGGTTGGGCTATATTCTTCCTGCCCCTGGTCCAGGCGTAGTTTTGCAGAGTTTTTTTGGCCTAATCTTGCAGAGCAGTGGGACGCCCCACCCAGAGGTACCCGGTTCGATCCCCGGTCAGACATCCTCTTCACCATCTGCACTAAAACACCCAGCGTCGTCCACCAGCACAAACGGCAGGTCCAAAGTTTGTACCACAAGCCATCACGCAATGGAGCACATTATGTGACGGCGCGTTGACGAAGGCAGGCAGGGTCGAGGGGTGGCGATCCCTGAATGGGAATCGCACGCTCGAGTCCACGGCAACGGTTTTACAGCCGAGGCAAAAGGACAACAAGCGCTCTGTCCTTTATACTCCGTCCGTCCATCAGCATCCTTAATGCAATTCCTAATGCTTCATCATCTTTTCGTGCACTCAGTTATCAATAATACTCAATCAGTTCTAGCCGTAACAGCGTCTCCTGGGAATCGCGACCTGCGGAGCTCCACCTACCGTATCTCTACATCCGCGATAGGGCCCGCTCAGCGGCCTATCTACGCTTGCCCCTCGGGCCACCGCGCCAAAGTTGTTGGGCCCTAGCCCCTGTGCGCATGTTGTCCGCCAACCTGCCCCGCGTGCCGCGGACGCCTTCACGGCAACACACACGAGCAGGTGCGCTGGCTGTTGGGCTTCGTCTGACCCATCCTGCGCAAGATCGAGTTCCTGAGTCCCATTCTCGCCGCCGCGATGGTCGCCATTCGCGGCCAGCCAGCGTCTCCAAGAACGAAGCGCGGTGTGGAAGACAGAAACGGGGGGCTTTCGTGAGCAATAGCGAGCACTCAAAAGTCCTAGAGTCTGACGCTTGGGTGAAATACCCAACACCGGCAGACGGCGTGGCTGTGATGTCACAAGCCATTACCTTCTCGTGACTACGACCCCCATTGTTGGCACGCAAGGGCGAGTAGCGGAAAGGGGTGCGTGGCTTTCCCGAAAGCCTGGCCATTTTGCTGTCCGCCATTTCAGCTTGCAGCCTTCTACTTTTCAGGCAAGCCCCATCACTTTGCAGCGACATGGTTCGTGGGTGTGTGTTTCTCTTGCTTGGCGCGTTTTTCTGTCAATCGCTCTGGAGCTCTGTCCCAAGTTCTTCCTTGCGGATTGTGTGTGCTCCTGGGGTGGTGAGCGCTGATCGCTTGCCTTCTTTAGTGCGTCGTGCACCCCGTCTGCATCTAGCGTCCCGAGCTTCGTCCTTGGATACGGTGGCTGGCCGCGATTGGCGACCATCGCTGCGGCGGGCACGGGACTCCGGGACTCGATCTTGCACGGGATGGGTCGGACGAAGCCCAAGAGTCAGCGCGCCTGCTCGTGTGCGTTGCCGTGTAGGCGTCCGCGCCGCGCGGGGCGGGTTGGAGGACCTCCGGGCACAGCGACTCAGCAGCGACTTGGACGCGGCGGTCTTGGGCGCAAGCGTAGACAGGCCACTGACGCGCCGTATCGCGGTATGCGAAGATACGGCAGGTGGAGCTCCGCATGCCACATTAACGGGACGCAGCAATCGTCTGTTTTCGTTCCGCATTCCGGCTGCGTGAGCCGATCGTAAGCGGCGAGTCCGTGGGTCCTAAGGCGGCAACGGGCGGCGGCACCGCAGCGCCCGCTCGCCTCCGCAGCTCGCCAACCCCCGAAGCCCCCCTCCTCCCACAGCCGCGCGTGCTGCCCCCGCGCCACCCCCACCCCTCACCGTCCCGACCCCCTCTTCTTCGAATCCCGCCCAACCATTTGCACAACACATCGAATCATGCCGCCACGGGCCATCCTGGCCGCGGCGGCCAGCGCCCTGCGTCGATCGTCCCTCCCCCTTGCCGCCGCCGCCCTTGATCTCTTCCCCCCGCCGCGCGCCTTGGCCGGATCGCTGGCCGCGACCTCCCGCCTGGATGCCGCCCTTGGCGCCTGCGCGCGGCGGGCACGGATGGTGTCCACCTCAGCGGCGACTTCGGCGGCGGCCGATCCACCGGGCACGCAGATCCCTCTGACTACCGGCAGGCCGCGGCTGGTGATCCTTGGCACCGGGTGGGCGGGCGCCAGGCTGCTCAGGGACATCGACCCCAAGCTGTACGACTTCACGGTGAGGGGAAACCGCGGGTCCCGGTGGCTGGGGGGAGGGTGACGGGCGGCTTGAGCCAGCCCGCGCTGTGGGAACAGCAACTCTTTCTGGAAGAATAGGCAAATAAGAATGCGGTGTATGCGAGTGGAAAATGGAATGAATTGCTCCTGAAGGGCAGAACACTGATGTCTTCAATTGGCGTAAAATGGTACTTTAATGGAGTAAAAGGAGTGATTTATGGTTGGCATGAGATGGGTGTAATGGCAGGGCAATGGGCATGAAGACTTACACGCACTTCATGGTCGGGTTGGCTGAAACTGACGTTCTTCAGGCTTGCTGGTGTGGGAGGGCGCTCTGACATCGGCGTGCCGTGTGCTGGGGCCGGTCCCATCGAATCCTGATTGTTGAGGGTCGTTTGCGTGGCGTCATGGGAGCCTGTGCCTGAAGTCCATGTCTGGCATCGTGCTTGCCGCAGTGTACGATGGCCAACAAGATGCGCCGGCTTTGTAGCAAGAAATGGGGTCTCCAGATTGGCCCCGTCTTTGTCCTCGCAGGCTGCCAGCCTCGCTGCATTAACCTCCCAGAGCGGGGATGCCCCTCGCATTTGGACGTCAAACAGGGGGAGTGCGGGATCTCAAAACGCCGCCCTCGGGTTTTCCCCTCTTCCCCCCCTCGGGCGGACGTGTCGCGTGTTGCAGGGCTTGCACTGCCAACAGGCATTAGCTAATGCGCTGCACATCGATGCCTGACACCAAGGGGGCTGCACCATTACCGCTGCAGGTGATATCGTTGCGCAACCACATGGTGTTCACCCCCCTGCTGGCCTCCACCACCGTGGGCACCCTGGACCCGCGGTCCGTGACGGTCCACGTCACGCAGATCCAGCGCGCCCTGTACTTGCCGCAGAACCAGTTCTACGTGGCGGACGCCACGTCCCTGGACCCTGAGGCCCGGCTGGTGCACTGCCGCTCGGAGGACGGCAAGAGCTTCCAGATAAAGTACGACAGGCTGGCGGTGTGCACGGGGTCGCAGGGCAGCACCTTTGGCGTGCCGGGCGTGGAGCGGCACGCGCACTTCCTGCGGGACGTCAAGCAGGCGACGGAGATAAGGAGCCACCTCATCAAGAACATCGCCAGGGCGGGAATTCCAGGTGGGGCTATACATTTGGCACCACAGTTGCTTATTTGTTTATTTGTTACTTGTTCTTTTGTTCATTTGTTCAGTTGCTTATTTATTTTTGAATCAAAATGCAGACATTTTAGGTAGTTTGGCTATGGAGTTTATGGTATGCAAAGTACTGAGGTGGCTGCGAATTCAGCCAAAAGTCTGCGGCGTAAATTGGGTGCCGTCTTATTTGGGTGTGCGCAAGGGAGCCAGGACAATCATCACCACTTGCCACACTCAGTTGATCGAGAAGCAGATGATCGCTTGTGCCGTTAGTGTGCATTATTGCAAACACTCCCAGGCTGTCATTTCAAATGCCACTTATATGATATTTTGTCATAAGAGGGGCTATCCTGGTGGTGTTTCAGGCAATGGGTAGATGCGTTGTTGCTGTTCTTGGATTTCTTGACAAGTTGTGGGTTCAAAGGGAGAACAGCTCCAAGATGTGGCTTGGACTCGTGCCACTTACTTCATCGGTCGTTCAAACTTTTCGTTGGACAAATGGAGACCCGGCTCGGTGGCAATCTCGCCTAGATATGTGCAACTGCTTAGTTCAGGGTGACACGGTGGCCACCAACTCCTGGTCACCCAAGGAAAATGGCGTCAATGCACCGTTGGATTGTGATATGATGGCAATGGTCTACTGAACGCAGCGGTGATCCTTCTAGCACCAACAGAGTGCAATATGTTGCACTTGCACAGTATGCGAAAGTGCAGATTGTGTTTTTGAACACTTTGCCAGCCAGTCATCCCTGGGTACAATATTGTAGCCGCACGAGCAACTGTTGTCTCATCCTTGTTCCCACCTTGGACGCTGCCGATAAATTGTGTCATCAAACATGAACAGCATGAAAATGCACCTGAACCTCTTTCCCTTTGCCACTGATGCTTTACACGTTGAGCGCGTGGCTGTATTCCATCTTTGGATGAACATGATAATGACGGCACAAAAATTCAGCTCCATGGAAATGTGCAAGGGATATCAACAGTGGCAGCCTATACGGCATGACGGATCCTGTAAATCCCAGCTTGGGACTGTGGTGCCATGCCTGATGCCGAAATGAGCACAGGGTGTTGGTTGCATGCAGCAAATTGTACCCTTGCTGGTTGCCATTGTGTGTGCTTCCCTACAACAGTTAGAATCTGACCTGCGGTACAGGATCCCAGTGAAGACCATGGGGCCCACGATGTGTACACCCACATCGGACGCCAGCCCCATGCGGTCAAACCAATTGGGCAGCTGCCACTAGGCGTTGACAAAAATGGGACTATCAGGGCCTCTGAGGCAATGCCGTTGGCACATGGCTGAGTTGTTCACTGTTATGACTGTTGCTTCTGCAGTAGGCTTGCAGCATGAATGTACATTCAGGGCTGCAAATTAGGGCGGAAGCATGCCAGGCTTCACCTGCCAGGCACATGGACAATACTCTGGCGCAGTTGGCCAAATGCCTGGGCAGCAGCTTGGCCCGTCGACACTCCTGGAGCGCACACCCAGCTGCATTGCCCATCATTCAGGTCATTGCAATTCATGCTGTCTGCTATTTACATAATTTGATATCACTCCCAGGCATGTGAGGCGATCGATGCCTGAGTACTCGTGCACATTGTTATGGCTTTCACAAGGCACAACCACAGAGGAGTGGAACCGCTTGCTGCATGTGGTCATCGTGGGAGGCGGGCCAACTGGTGTTGAATTTGCGGGTGAGCTGTGTGACTTCGTAAAGGAAGATCTGTCGCGGGTGTACCCAAACAGAGCAAAGTCTGTGAGGTATGTGCCCTCAGGAGTGGGAGGGAGGGGCGTGCCTTGCGTCATGATCCCTTCGTCTGTCTGTGCGTGTTGCCTGCGTAGTTTTTGAACCGCAGTTATGGCCCCTGGTAATTTGTCTCGCCATAATTGTCTGGCCGTAATTTGCCTGTCAAGATGTGTGGCTGCCTCCCTGTTGCCCGTGCGAAGAGAAGCGAAAACTGCACTGGAGGTAATCGATATTGTGATGGAATGGAATGACATTCAAGGTGGCAGGAGGAATCAGCGGCCGCTCGGCTGAGAGAATTCCTGCTTGCCTTTGACTTCCTGGATATATAACGTTGTAAAATTGTCTGAAGGATGCAAAGCGAATGCTGGCAGTCCGTGAGTATTAACTGGTTGCGCATGGGTTGTGAGACTTGGCATGGAGATGACAACGGGAATAGAACCACGATGTTTAGGGGTCTTTGCTGGTGCATAGGATAGGAACATGAACAAGAGCGAAATTGTGTTAGCTTTTCGGTTCATGGCAATGCATTATACAGCCCTGTGATCTGTTTTTCCGATGGGTGCACTGTGAGAGCCAAGCTTGCCAGTGTATCTGCGGGGAACGACTGGCACCGTTGCATGTAATTGAACTTTGCCAATGCAGTGGATGGTACTCATTTCGACAGTCAGGTGTCGTAGTCTTGGGATTCAGGGATTTGTTGCTATCGCTGTTGCCAAGTTGATTGCTCTTCTTTAGCGGATTATCATGTTGCACAGACAACCGCCTCCAAGCGTGTGTTCTGGGATGTTGCAGAGGAATGGGCATGCCATAGCGATCCTGGCAGCAGTTCCTTTTGGTGTCCTTGCCCTGCAACAACCTAGCTGTCATTGTGGCACAGCTTCCTGGCCTCGCCAAATCAGATGCCAATGCTGTCCTGATTTTATGTCATCCTTCTGTGAGGATTTTCCTGCTTTGGGCCATTATCCTCTTGCACAAGTTCCAGCCACGCCTATGCTTTGCCGCGCAGTCGAATTGAATCAGAGTGCAGCTCGCCAAGAAATCCCGACGGCGCTCCTCGTGCAATGAATGGGCATGATCCAATTCAGCCTATCAATGTTGAAAAGCTAACTCTTTCATCTCCCTGCTTTAAATTTCTTGGGACTTTGGGGATCAATTTGTGGAAACAGTGCAGGTAGAGCCGCACGTCCATGGCCTTGTTAGTGCAAGAGCAGTTCTGTGAGGTGTTGCGAGAAAGCTAACGGACGTGTCTCCCTATGCGGAGACGTCGCCGATCCATGTGGGCGTCCAATGACTATAATTGTTGTCAGTGATATGATTTGGATGCCTGTCTTTGCAGGGTCACATTGATTGAGGCAAGGGAACTGCTGGGATCGTTTGATGCCTCTCTCAGAGAATATGCAGTGAGGAGGCTGGCGAAGCAGGGCGTGAAGCTCATGAAGGTAGTGCTTTTGATATGCAAGCTGCTTGGAGCTGGCAAGTGCTGCTGCATGCTATATTAGGCGCTGTGTTGCAGCACAGCATTGGGCAATTGTACCTGTGCAAGTATCGTTGGGAGAGCGTGTGGCAACTAGTGTTGGCTTGCGCCAACAACATGCAGGGTACCTGCAAGGAGAATACGCGATCCGATATTGGAAGTTGATTCACAGATTGATGTTGCAAGTTGTGCTGCAGATTGATATTGCAGATTGACGTTGATATTGTAGTTGGTTCACAGATTGAATGTCCGTACATGTGCATGCATGATATGTTGGAAGTATTCTCTGGGTGCCACCCAATATCTTTGCGGCTTATTCAAGACCTCGTAGCCATTTGGCAGTGTACTGAAGACCACGTGACAAACTTTGCCAGTGTGCTGAAACCTTGTCAACCGTGACGCAGGGCGTCGTGAGCGAGGTAACGCCTCAGACGTTGAAACTCAAGGACGGTGACGTGCTGTCTTACGGGTTGTGCGTGTGGAGCACGGGCGTCGGGCCCACTCCATTCGTATCTGCTATGCCTTTCGTGAAGACCAGCCAAGGAAGGTTGGCGGTGGATGACCGCCTGAGGGTGATGGTGCCACCAAAGGGCACCGCGCTGCCGGATGTTGACGTGGTGGGTTGAAGGACCTGGCGCTGAGCATCGCGGAGTTGTGGCCTTGGTGGGAACGGGAGTGAGCTGGGAACAAAGCAATGATAAACCCGTACTGGCAGCTTGAGATGCTGGCCAATGGCTGCGCGATTGCACTCCAGGCACGGCCACAAGCCGTGCCTGCAAATTAGAAACGAAACGGCCTGTTGGATGATGAGATGCCCGCAGCATGGTTTGGCAGGGTTCGGTGCTGTCATGGATTGTGTTGGCAGAGAACAGGCGCGTCCGATTGCAGGCTACAACAATTGCGGTAGATGCGACCATGATGACATGCGCTTCGTGTCAGTTATGTGTTTGCAAGACGACTTCAGCGACAATGGGAATAGACTGGTACGGCACTGCCATGACAATCTACAATGTTGCTTTGCCAATGATGGGGACGCTCTTCAAAAAGTTTCCAAGGAGGGCTCTGCCGGATTGTAGTTGCCACGAATTGTGACACCGTCCATTTCGGCGCCTCTCAATCCATCAAGAAGCAAGGAACTAGCCGTCAGTTCACTGTTAACCCGGGAAAGCAACTCCTATGGTTGATTCACCAGAGTACGGGGTACTGCAGCGCAACCTACACGCAGGTCGCGGGCCGCTGTTGTGTGGACCCTGCTTCCCGCTCTCGTGCATACGCTTCCTCGTGGGGATAATCTCAAAATCTGGACATGCTGATTCAGGTGTCGATGACAGCGGACGAGACGCTGCACATCGCTGGAAGCGAAGAAGAACTGGAGCCGGTGGACGGGGTCTACGGACTGGGCGACTGCAGCGCAAACCCGGCGAATCCACTGCCAGCCCTCGCGCAGGTGCGTCCAGCAGCCAAGGCGCCCTCATGTGCCGCAGTACATTCAACCCTTCGGCGTCACTCTTTTTCCCGTTACGCTTTTCGCCCCGCATGCTTTTACGAGAGCGTCAATTTTTTTCACGATGTTTCCACAGAAATTCTCTTAAGAGCATTATTTGTTTTATTGAATTTCTCCGCAAAAATGGCCAAGCGTTGCGTTATCGTGTGGAAGTGTTGAGTATGCAACGATACACATGCAGAGTTTGGGGCTGTCAGTTTCTTTGCTAGTTGTGCTGTGCGGAGCCGCCCGTGTTGCCACAGCTGTGGCGGCTCGCCCGTCGGCTGTGGCTGGCAATGGTGTGAAGAGCTGTTCCTTGTGCGCATGGGCCAATCGGCCCCTGCACAGGGCTGGTGTTCGTTCTCATTTGCCACCAACAGTTCATCACAACAACCATTGAAACACCCATCCTTGCTTTACGGCCCTCTGGTTCGAGAATGCGCAACGACTCGTAACAGTTAGAGCGCAGTTGCACATCCACGAAATCTTGCAATTTTGGTCGGAACATCCCGAACCCGGGTGTATAACGTCAGTCGGCCGGTAGCTGAGCGCCAAACCCTGCAGGTCGCGGAGCAACAAGGCAAGTACTTGGCCCGGTGCCTGAACGCCCAGGCCAAGTCCGGGACCTCCCCTGAGCCCTTCCAATACCGGCACCTAGGCTCCATGGCCACTGTGGGAGGCACGTCCGCCGTGCTGGAGATCAGCAGCCCCGTGCGGTACAGCATGAGGGGCTTCAGCAGCTGGCTGGCCTGGAGGTCGGCGTACCTCACGCGCCTCGGCAGCATCAGGAACCGCCTCTACGTCGCCTTCAATTGGACAATCACGCTGCTGCTGGGCCGGGACCTCTCTCGATGGTGATGGGATTGGCAGGAGGGGTGGGGGGGTCCTCTGACTCGTCATTTGGCCTGGGTCCTTCGCGACAGGGGGACAACGTGCTGCCCCTCGGGCCTGCGAGGCGGTGTTGTGCGTCGTTGTAGGCAATGATTGGAGGACGAACGGTGCACGGTGCTTGCATTGGGGATTTCGATGGCAGTGCGGAAATTTGAGAACGTCTGGGCGCCCAGTGAATGTGGAGCTGTTGCGGCACCGGGCCTCGGCTGCACCATGGCCGGGTGCCACGACTGCACCGTCATGCACCGCAGAATACACAGGAAATGCAGAGGACGGGATGCAAGGGGCGATTGACAGAGCTCCGGTACCTCAACTGGGATTTCGTTGTTGCCATGCAGACAAAGCATGGGGGGCATATAGTTTAGGGGTGTCTGACCGGGCAGTGCTTGGGAATAATGCATTCGCGCAGTCAACTGCACTGGACAGAACAGCTCGCACGACGAAGGGCTTGCAACTATGTTCCGCCGAATTTCGGGTATCTGAAACCCGAAACTGTGCAATGAAATTTTCAGAGGCGCGGATGCTTGGAGCTGGCGTTCAGTGCCATCAGGCAGGACTTCATCGAGTGGTCATCTGTCAACTGTGTGGGCAACGCAGAGGACGGAAATGGAGACGGCCATCCACCATGCTGCGTTCAAATCTTTGGCGATCAGGCGGGCACCTCGCTGTTGGCGGCACTGGTGGTTAGCTCGCCTCACTAGTTACTTGTCGTGAAACTAAGGTTTCGATTGTAGGTGTAGAGAGGCGCGATCTTAAGCGCCTCGTACTGACGTGCAGACCGCTGTCGACTCCCGCTTGTCAAGATTTCCATCCATTTCAATTGTGCAAGTGAGGGTCTGCCGGGCCTCGTGCTTAGCGATGCTGGACGAATCCATCAGCAGAGGCAGCTTTCCTCCTCACACCCACCCTCTTCGAAACTGATAATTTGGCAGGCCATGTCGCCAGCTCAGGCCCAACTATCAGACCTCGTGCGCAGTGCCCCTGGCACATGTCACGCTCCCGTGACCCGACAGCCGCAGATTCTACCATGTACGGATCTGGACCACATGCTCCATGGTGAAGGCATTCTCTCCTTGGCCTTGCATCGCCATGTCCTCTCGCCCGTCTGGACGCCCATGAACCAGCCACCCTTGGCCCCCCTTCCCCCTCGCCTGCACGCACCCATCAGGTCTCGTATCCATGCGGATTGTTCTTGGCCCAGTTCCACTGGTCTCGGCACATGTCCGACACGTTGAGCTTGGTCTTCCAGCCCAGCTCGCTCTCCGCCCTGCCCGTGGCCGCCCACACGGCGACCGTGTCCCCCGCCCGCCTGCCCACCACGGTGTAAGGTATCTTGATGCCGCTGGCCTCCTCGAACGCGGTGATCATCTCCAGCACCGTGGTCCCCGTGCCGGTGCCCAGGTTGACGGGCTGGCAGCCGTAGCTGGGCTCGGACCTGATTTTGTTGAGGGCCGCCACGTGGCCCTCCGCCAAGTCCATGACGTGGATGTAGTCGCGGATGCACGTCCCGTCGCGCGTCGGGTAGTCGTCTCCAAACACCTTCAGCTCTGGTCGGATCCCCACGGCGACCTTGCACAGCGAGTTGCCACATGGGGCGAGTCACATCACAAGCTCGATCGCGAAACATGCAACTCAACAGGCAGGATGGTAGGAATCCTGTTAGTGCAGTAATTCTTTCGTTCATTTCTTCCGTCAACAACTACATGTTGACTGGCAGCATTTGTATCTCAAACTTTCTTTTTCTTTGAAAACTAAACCTGAGCACCCACTATTGTTTAGACAAAGCTGGCACCCTTTTGAAATCGTCGCGTTCTTCCTGTGAGCGGTGGGCCCTTTCTTGGTTTCCGTACCCTACACCGCAGGGCCTGACTACCAATGCCATCCTGTTTCAGCAATGATAAACGTGATACACTGTGACGCAACATGGAATGTAATACGACGTCGGAAGGCAGCTGCCCGGTGGTAATTGTCAACACATTCGTTTGTCGCCTGTTCTCAACAAGGCACTCAACAAACCTCTTGACATGCTTGACAACTATCCATCCTTGTTCGAAGGCATGCGCCCATCGTCCTGGGCGGTGGAAGCATGTCACAGGCAACAGGCACAATACATTGGTGTTTGCGGCGTGGGAATTCACCTTGATGCTGCAATTGGTGCGCATGTTCAGAAAGCGTGCAGTCAATAGCAAGCTGTGGTGTGTGCTCGAGACAGGCCATTGTCACTCAAGTTCACTACCATGGAGTTAGCTTTTGCAGCACAAATCACGACAGATTCGGTAGTATATCAGATAGACCTCGCTGCTTTCAACATCTTACTCTCAACTTCAGCATGTGATGAGGTTGGCAAGTGTTGAAGGCAACAACTATGTTTCTTCCAGCCAAGCAGTCTCACAGCTGTCTTTAGTCACGGTGCACCTCTTTTCGTGGTTCCAGGTTGCCAACAGTGTACAAGCAGCTTCCAATCTCCGCTAATCAGGCAAACAAGCTGGCCAAACAATGGCCAGTTTTAAAGTGCCTCCCTAAACTCGACAGCGAAGTCGTTCTGATCGCCTGCTGGATGCCCGTTAGGCAGAAAACATTATCTTAATCGCGTTTACGTACCCTGTAGAAGGAGGCTCTCTCTAGTTTCTCACAATTACTAGTTTTCCAGCCATTCGTTTCCAGGAGCAGATTCAGATGCAGGAGTGACGATGTCACAACTGGCCTTTGCCACTTTGCAAGTGTTTGATGATGGTCAAACACATGTTGACAAGTGCAAGCAACGAGTCACACAATCTTACATGCTTCTCATGGGGGGCATCCTTCACCAAGCTGAAGTTTCAGTTGCATGTGCCTGATGTACACACATTGCCCCAAAGATTGTATGTGGTGCAGTGCATGTGTGTTGCCAGTGTGACACAAGGACAAAGAGCATTGTCTAGTTGTGTGGGGATCCAAGGGCGCGTGTTCACCGCTTTCGTGCAAGCTCCTTGCTTCAGTTTCACTCCTGGTACTGGTGGCTCCCATGGTGCCGCAAACCAAGAAGGGGTATCGGTATGTTCTTGCCAGGAGGGGGGTACTCCAATGTATGACGCGCTTCTGGACTCGAGCAACTTTTCAATACACACACCTGTTGGATGTATGGCATCAAATTCAGCGGGACACCGATCGGATGCTCTCCTATCCTCCCTGTGGGGTGCGCCCCGATCGGGTTGAAGTACCGCAGCAGGATGATCTTCCATTCGCTATCAGCTTTCGCCACATCCTCCATCATCTCTTCGATGATGAGCTTTGTGCGGCCATACACACTGATTGCCTGCCTGGAGTGATCCTCCTTCAGGGGCACCTCATCAGGGCTGGGGTTGCCATACACAGTGCAGGAGCTTGAGAATACCATCTGCAAACACCACATATGCAACTGATTGATGTTGGTGTGCAGCAGTTCATCCAATGTAAAATGAAACGTATTCAGAGATGAACAAAGTATGAGAACTGATACAGAAATTCTAAAAATGAAAAATAGAAGGAATAGAAGAGCAAAAGTGTGGCATCGAATGCCAGCAAGATGGCGTACCATTCACAAGGATTCTTGAAACATAACGCACATCTGATATTGGCCAAAATATGCAAGGGGGATTCGTCATGTTCTGAAAGGTGCAAACTGCAAAAGCTGTGATCGTCTTGAGCAACACAAGCACCCAGAACAAGAAGACGGGTGGACAGAATCCTCCCTGGATGGCCACGTGAGCACATATCCCATGAGCTTTCAGATGACAATAACAGTACATCAGGTAAACCTGTGCAGAAAACTACTGTACACATTGTCAAGGTATTAATTACACTGGCGGCATACAGCAGAAAATCTGCCCAATAGGAAATCAAGCGGCAAAATGCTATTCTCGATTTTTCTTTTGAATAGACTAGCACAGGCGCAAATCTTCTTTGTCTCAACCTTCCTGGCCACAAAATGCTTCTCAGCTCCTCATCCGCTCCTTGCAATGATTCTATCGTACCTGTGGCTCTGCAGTATCAAATATCTATTTCCATCTTTTCTTTCCTTGCCCCACAGCCAGCCCATGAAGCAGAAAATTGGCAGTGGGAAACAACGCACACTGGAGATCTGAATACTGCAATGACAACATTATGCTATCAAGCAACCAGCACAGGCACCCACCAGGAGTTTGGGGGGTATAGCCGTACACCCATCATTATCAGAACACGCCTCCTGCGCTTGGGCACTGATTTCTCTTTGTCGAGATTCACACTGTACTCCAGTCTCGACCAGGCCCTCCAAATGGATGTGATACCATATGCAAGACTTACCAAAGAACTGCCCTTGCACAGGCAAGGTGATGAGAGGCAAGATTCCATGCACAGGACATGACTCGTCATGCACCAATCCCATTTCCCTTGGCTTCCCAATTTGATGAAAACATCAAGCAAGCAAAAGTCGGCCGCACCGTTTTGCACCCATTGCTGGCCATAGCTTGCAGCAAATTTGTTGTACCGCCAACGTTGTTCTCATAATACTCCAGTGGCTTCTCCATGCTTTCCCCCACTGCCTTCAATGCAGCAAAATGGACGACAGCATCATACCTGCCCGAATCCAGCCTCAGTTCCACAATATAAGGAAAGCCAATGTGAAGTACAGAAAATGATGCAAATTTATTGTTAAGCATAAATAAAGGTGCAGAAAACTCCCCATCTAATGCCCACTGTTCTCAACCAAACAAACTATCACAAAAACCTGACAACTGCACAACATGCTTTCTTTCCCACCGTTACACATGGATAAATTCTCCAGCACATCTGCAGTATGGAGAGAGGAACAACATCCTCTGGAGGTTTGTCAAGTGTTTTACATGCCTTGCCACGTGGACAAACACAGTTGTCCACCTTGGACTAGGGCTGGACTATGCATCAATGCCATTTAGCTTCCTATGTAGTGCCATAGTGCACTACCAATCTGTTGTTCTATTGTACGGTGCTATTGTCAATTTATTACTGCTGTCAAGAGCAGTATCAATATCAGCATATTCTTCACATTATTGCGTTTTTTCTCCCCCAGTGTGCATACCTGCATTAGTATTCCCTTGCAAGACAACATAATAAGTACAAGCAACAATGAAAATAGTTTCAGGCCACAAGGCCATTCTGCTAACACAGCATGGTAACAAACAGCTGCTCAGCATGGAGTTCTGTAGAGAAGGAAGTGTACCTGAGTATCGGAGGCATGGACTGCTTTCACGGAATGACACCGAGGCACAGGCTGCATGAGGACATATGTAAGCCCCTCTCACCTAAAAATGGAAGGGCAAGAAGCACCAGACAGAACAATGCCCAATTCTCATTGCTTGCAAGAAATCAAAAGGTATTTGTTATCAGCGCGCCCATTACTGAAGGGATAACGTAATACAACGATCTCCTTGCCTAATATGTTGTCACAAATGAATTAAGTCAAATGCTGCAATATGTTGGGGGTCGGTGTGCATAGGATAGATCTGTGGGTACTCACACGATATCCTGGCCTGCAGCTGATTGAAATCCAAAGTGTCGGTTCTGAACACTATGTAACACTTAGAGGATGTGACAAGCTCAACAGGCCCAAAATAGACGTGAAGGCTGCACTGCGCCTATGCAGGTTTGTACACACTCAGGGATGGGTCGTGAATGCTCACTTTTCAGATGACAACACACTATTCAGAGCTCCTTTGTCCCTCAGGTCGACCTGTGAGAAAATCACACATGAGCTTGTTTCCAATCTTCGTTTTGGCCTCATTGTGGACGATTCTGGCCCCATTCAAGGTATCGCAGTGTGAATATAAATATACTATACATATAGTTATATTATATTGAGCATTCTAGAGAACTATATATAACATATATGTATACATATATTTGAAAGAACTATCAGGGGTTGTGATAGCAGTTCATGGGCAATTCTGAGGTTTATTGGGATGGGATTGGGAAAGCAGTGCTATTCAGTGTTGACCTTCACGCAGTCTGAACAGAACAAGAGCAACAGTCTCGATTCCCATTGTTACAACAACCCCTGCCATTTGTCATGATGTTTTTGATCAACCAGGGGCCCCCAGAATGTTGAATTTCTGTTCTCGAGGCTAAGAAATTATTTCTATTTCATGTGAACAATCTCTCGGGCTCCACATCGCCTAAACATGTGCATCATCGCCTTCAACAGGAAACATTTTGTCAACCTTGTGTGTGGTGGCACATTTCGAGTCCATTCGACAGTGCACGTGCTCCCCAGGGGCAGGCAGCCAAATATGTTGCTACAAAGTGAATACCCGACACGTACAAACTTGTGCGCATGTTGCATGTGCCAGACCTGGCCAGATCCCCATTTCATTATCCCATTTTACCTATCCCCCTTATGGCAAACACACTGCTCATACATCAGCACAATGGGGCCTGTACTGCGCAATGGAGGAACCTTTTGCTGCCTCTTCACACCAACGAAAGTGGTGGAACTGAACAACCCACAACATTGCCAGATAATAACTTCAGAGCACATCTTTACCTGTTCAAATCGCAACATTGACGCCTTGTCGCCCGCCAGCTCTTTCATTCTGTCAAAAGCAACCAGGAAGGAGTTGCTGAGGTTGTCGATGATGGTGACACTGCAGCCCGCCTCCACCAGGGCGAGTGCCGTGTGGCTTCCTGGTACATAGACATAAACACATCCTCAACTTCAGGATCCACCATCAAAATACTAGGTTCATTCCACTAAGCATGCTGTCACAAGTGGGTAAAGTCGCACATCGCATAACGTTTGCGTTGCATGCATAACAGATGGCCAACAGTGCTCTTGGCACATTGCACTCCCGCCGATGGCCTCAAGAACACCCTTCCCGCGGCACCCCCAACCAGAAAAAGCAAACAGAGGCTTCATTTTGCGTGGCTCATGGGCATCTTGTGAGTGGTACCGGTTCCACAGCAACAAAAGCCAAACCGCCTGTGGCCTGTGACTTCTTGTGACGTCCAATGACTCCATTGGAGCAAGGACGGCGATGTTAATCAGGTGGTGAAGGAATTGACGGCCAGAGCCTACGTCAATGTCCTGTTGCAGAGGGCTTTCCCAAAAGTTGACGCCAAAAGGGCCAACGCGTGTGCTTGTAGGTGAGTGTCGCGGTGGAGGCTGGCGCCAAACGGAGGGCACCTAGGCATGCGGACCAGCGACAGAAGACAGAACAGCGAAGGGGATTCTTTCCCGATTCTACAGAAGCAGAGGACAGCGGGGACTTGCGAGCGCTTACGCGTGCGGTGGGCTGGACCGATCGGCCGCTGCACTGGCTTGACGCGCTCAACGTCAGGCTGGGAATTTGGCGGACAATCTCCTCAGCGCTCTCGCGACGACGGTGAACAACGGAAGAACGGTCAACTCCCAAAAGCGCGCTCCTACGAAAACGGCAGACGAGACGCCGCCGTGGTCGTTCTCTCCGGAATGCAAGCTTAGGACCGGCGTAACAGTCTCGCGCGCATCCTGCCAATCTGCTCTTCCGAGCCGCTTCTTCGCGCGGCCGGCCCTGCGGCGCAGCCGCCTGCCGATCTGACCCACAGGCACAGCGCGCCGATGAGCCCCTGCGACGGGCCCGGCTCCTCCACTCACCGATGTACCCAACGCCCCCCGTCACGAGGACGTTGATCGCCGGGCAGGTGCCCTCTCCCGAGTCCGCCATCCCGATCCCAGCCAAGGCGGACAGGGCGAAACAGAGCAGATGAAAGGCAGCGGGGCGCCCCGTCCTCGACAGCGTGCACCGGGCGGGCGCCGACGGCAAACGAGGCAAGCTCCCGCCCAGCGCACCCACCCCGCTCCTTTTGCCCCTGCTTTGGAGCAATATTCTCGAATAAAAAGGCCGCCGGATCGCCCCGCTGGCGCCCACGTGGACCGGTCAAGCCGCCACCACACCCCCGGCGCCCAAGTGCCACGCCCTGCCCCCCCTGCCCTTCCGTCTGCGCCTTCCGGTCGAGCCGTCCTCTCGCGGCGCCCGCTCTGCGATGACGCCCCGCGCCGCCGCCTGCGCCGCGCGCCTCCCCCGCGCCTGCCTCCTCGCTCTGCTGCTTTCGACGCTGCTGGCCCGCTGCGAGCATCGCTCCCCCCAATTCCGCAGCCTCGCGGCCACGGCGGCTGCTCTCTCGGAAGGCTCTCTGATCCCGGGCGCAGTCCGACCTTCGGGCGCCTTTGGAGTTTCGAAGCGACTTGGAGCCATAAATGGGGCACCGGCGCGTGACTCCGAGTGGGACGTGAGGGACTTTGGGGCGGTGGGGGACGGGCGGGCCTACGACACGGCCGCGCTGCAGGAGGCCGTGGACGTTGCGGCGGGGCTGGGCGGCGTCGTGGTGTTTCCGGCGGGGTACCGCTTCCTGACGGGGACGCTGTTTCTGAGGAGCGGCGTGTCGGTGCGCGTGGAGCGCGGCGCCACCATCCTGGGCAGCGCCAGGAGGGAGGACTACCCGGACAGGTGGGAGGCCGCTACGTACTGCGCTAGCATGATGTTCATGCCAAAGTGCCGCATTGTCGCTGGGCATGTGGCGCCGATCCTTCCGAATTTGAACAGAAAGTGGATTAGAACGGGTGCGTGTTCCGGTCGTTCCGGTCCGCGCCCCCATCCAAATTGTAGCAGACGTGTGGCCTGGGTCGTCGCAGCGTCCGCGACGCCTTTTCCGTCATCATCATTCGGACTTCTCACTGCGAAGTTTCACTGCCGCTTTTCGATGGGAATTGAAGGAATGCGCAAGGGGCCCGCACGTTGACGGGCTGTCCAATTTGATCAGGAATTTGTCGCTACATGACGATGCCAGCCCATTCACCAAGCCGGCGATTTTGTCCAATGCACGCAAGTACAATGTGATGTTGCCGACGCGTGCTTGTGTCCACTTAACTGCCCTGGAGAAAACCGGGTCCGTTGATCCATTGTTATCTTGGCCGTGAGTAGTGGCGTTTTGTTTTGCCGCGTCCGCCTTCCGCGAAGCCCCTCTGAACGCAGCAAGCGTCACAGGCGGTCCCAAACCATGAGCGGGCGGTAGTGAGCCCGTCTCAAAAGTTGGACTCCAGTGCTCCGGGCAGTTTGCCCAGAGCGCTAAATGCCTTTATGTGGATTGACTCCGAAAGACTGCTGGCGGTTGTGCTGTTGGGCAGTTGCTGTGCTGGGCAATTGCGGAAAATCAAAGAGTGCACCGTGCGCCGGACCAGTTGCGCTTGAAAGGCCTGCCACAGGCAGCTGATAGGCGCAACGCCACATATCCACCTTGCCGCCAAACGCAGCCAAAGTTCAGGTCCCCCCCCCCCCTCCCCAAGTTGCGGTGCCCACGCCGCCCTTTTCCTGGACCCGAATCCGGTTGACAAAGGCAGGCGCGTTGGCCTTGCCACTCTAGCGCATAATGATGCATGCGCAACGGCCAGGAAACGCGGAACGCGACAACTTGCAGCGAGTGACCCCACCCGTTCCAACCCGTTTGTTGCCTTGTTCTGTAAAAAATGATGATGATGGTGACCCCGCCCGTCCCCGCTGTCTCCCAGCCGCGACCGGTGGTACGTCATCCTGGCGGAAAACGTCACCGGCGTGACCATCTCGGGCGGCGGCGAGATCAACGGCCAGGCCAGAGCGTTCGTGGCCGACCGGCACCCGCCGCAGTTCGCGGACAAGTACGCCATGGTGAGCTGGAACCAGGACCCGTCCGTGTGTGCCGACCCCGTGCAGTGCCGCCCGCGCCTGCTGGGTCTGGTCAACGCCACCAGGGTTACGCTCGCCGACCTCTTCCTCAACCAGCCCGCCTACTGGTGCCTGCACGTCTACCGCAGCGCGGACGTCGCCATCCGCGGCCTGGACATCTTCGGCGACCCTCACATACCCAACAACGACGGCATCGACATCGACGGCTCCAAGCGGGTGGAGGTCTCGGACTGCACCATATCCACCGCGGACGACGGCGTGTGCGTGAAGACCTCGGGAAAGGCCGCCCCCACTGTGGACGGCGTCCTGGTGCAGCGCTGCGCCATAAGGTCCAAGTCGTGCGCGGTCAAGTTCGGCAGCGAGTCCACGGCGGACATGGCCAACGTGGTGGTGCGCGACGTGGTGGTGGCGGACAGCAACCGGGGGCTGGGCCTGCAGATCCGGGACGGGGCCAGCGTCGCCAACGTGACGTTCAGGAACGTGAGCATGGTCACGCGGCTGTTCGACCCGGCGTCGTGGTGGGGCCGGGCGGAGCCGATCTACGTGACCAACCGGCCGCGGGACTGGGAGGGGACGCCGAAGGTGCGCGAGTCTGGCGGGTGCTGCGGAATGAGCGCGCCACTTGAGCGGTGGCACCTGACGTCCGTTGCGACGTCTCTTCTGACCGTCCAGGAACGCACGTTTGCAAGGCCTCTTTCCAAGCATGGACCTGCTGTTGACAATGTCTTGTGCAGGTGGGACGAAGCGGTGACCGTTCGCTAAGAAGGCGGTGGTGTAAGTTTCCGTCGTCATCTTCCCCTGAGTTCAGGCCTCTGGTTGTGCAACCAAAATAGGGCTACCACGAAACTGAGTTCAATGTATGAACCCCTGGAGTCTGTACTTTGCGCACGTTGAGGAGGACAACGTTCGGTATTGGCACCTGGTGGATGTCAATGCCAAGCATTGCCTTTCTAAGCGGGCTCCTGTTGTCGCTGCCTTCTGAACGGCCACAGCGATCCATGCAATGACCAGTTCTGTGCCATCATGCAACAACGCGGATTCGAGGAATGCAAGGAAAGGGAAGAAGACAAAAGACCAGAGAAACAAAAAACGAATTGTTGTGCCTTCGATGAAGAGTCTTGTACCATCGCGCAATGATCCGAATTCGAGGGCTGCAAGGAAATTGAAGAAAATAAATGAAAATAACACTATTCTTATGCCTTCCCCAAAGGTGGGCTTCCTCCGCAACGTTACCTTTCAAGACATTTCGGCGACGTCTGAGGCGGGGATCGTCATCGCCGGCAGGCCTGGGGACGCCTCCAAAATCGATGGCCTGACTTTCGCCAACGTCAGTGTGAGGGTGGAGCGCCTGTCGCCCTGGCCCGGCGGGCAGTTCGACTTCCGTCCTGGCGTCGAGGTCGTCAACCACTCCATACCCCTGCTGTACGGGGAGCACGCCAGCAACCTGGTGTTCAACCACGTGAGCCTGGAGTGGGGCCCCGTGGCCCAGCCCTACTGGGGTCCCGGCATACAGATGTTCAACCGGACGGTGCATAACGTGCGGTTCGTGGACGTGTCGCTGAGCGAACCGTAGGCGTGCGTGGGCGCGGCTGCAGGATGATGCGCCGCGATGAGAAGACGTGGGGCTGCCAAGTCGCGAGAAGGCGTCGAGTGCAGAGGATGTCGACAGCCGATTGAAGTTGCAGGTAGACGATGAGACAGGAGAGCTGGGAGCGCCACGCGCACGGGCCGCCGCGCTGCCGTGGCTGTGCTCCAGAGGCTACCCTGGCCCCGACACTCACGTCAGCTGCCGGGGGTTTAATTTTAGAGAGCCTGCACCAGCTCCACCCTTCAAGGGAGACTGTCACCTTGAGACGGGGCCCAGTACCGCGACTGGGAATACAGGCGTGCGCTTGACTCGGAAGCGCTCTGGAATCGCGTCGCTGGGACCTGCGGTGTGAAGGTTCAGGCAAGTGTGGCCGGGCAGGTTGATAAATTCAGTGAGCATGCACCTGGGCTGGGCACCCCAGTGGGCGGCCTTGAGCTGCGCTCATGCTGCGATGCTGCAGTGATTGGGTCGTCAGGCCTGGTGTGGACTCGCAGTGCTGCAGCTGCCTTCCAGGTACACACATCAATGTTTGCCAGGCGTGTCACAATGTTTCTGTGGGCCCACCGCTTTGCAAGAAAGGGCCTGGGTGCATGACGGTGGCAAGGGCCGCAAAATGTTGGTGCCACCGCATTACCCAAGGTTCATGTGAGCGTCCTGTATCGAATCAGTGCACTAGTTGTACAGAAACATAAGCCTGCAGGGAATCATGAAAGGTTGCTGTCTAAAAGCGAGTGCAAGCTGTGGGAGATACTTGGGCAGCGATGTGGAGCTTACAGTGGTTTTGTAAGTTTCAGTGTTCTTAGATTTGCCACTGGAATTTTCGAATTGCTGCACAGTATTGCATCTTTGGCTATATTGCTTCAAAATTGCGATATAGCCATCTGGAGATCGTTCAACGATGCAGGGCCAGTCGTTTTCCATAATTTCGCATTTGTAATCACAAACAGTGAGTGCTGAGTGAGATGATATGGCAATGAAAAATCATCTCTGTGCATGTGTATGAGTGCCCGAGCATTTGCACCTTTCATTATGCCCAACCGGTTATGTCCGCACGTTCACGAGAGCCCAAGAACTGCACTATACTGGCACCAGGAATTGAACATCTGTGTCAAATAGCGATGCAACCCATTGCCAGGAAGACAACCAAATTAAATAAACACCATTCACAAATGAATATCTGTCATTCCACAACACATGCCACTTGCTGCTGAATGTAGAATGCATGCACGGCCCAGTGCTGCCAGGACAGTGGCCATTGCAAAGTCGCAGGCATCCATGCATTCACCTCCGTCAAGCATACTCAGACATCTCCACTTGAATGTAGACTGCTTCTGACACGTATGGCAAATCGGCGTAGAACCCCCTGACATAGTGCAGCAGGTCAGCACAAACCGGCACAGTTCATTCGCACATCGCCCGCACTCACTTGTTCTCTCAATTACAGAACATTGCGCCACAACAAAAGGTCCAAGTGCAGCAGGTTGTTGACTATGAGAGGTTCACAATTCTGGCAAATTTCTGCGCCTTTTTTGCTTTTTGCACATACAGTCCTTTTCAAACATGGAGGTTGTGGTCGGGGACTTCTTACCAAACTGTGGTCAGTGACGCACAGTGGTGTGCCAAGAGGGATGCTCAGGTTGATGGCAAGAATGATGCCAAGGAATGTACTGTTGCCTTTGACTCGTGCACACAAAATGCCTTGGCACAGCGGGAGCGGCGAGTGTAATACCACAATGCATCCACAAAATAGACAACAGATTGTCAGAGCAGCAGCATTAACTTTGGTGGTTAATGTTCATGTATCACATTTGGACAAACATGGGATTAAAGCCCTTGCACTCACAGAAAGCTTCAATCATTATGTCTTTCATTTGCCAAGCTCATAATTCCACACACTGCCTGGTGGCGGTCGTGGTGGTGGCGGTGTTTGCAGTGGCAGCTTACCTCAAAGTGAAGAAGACACAGTACAGAACTGTGGCCATACTGGCAACCCAAGAAAAAGAATCGAAGACGCTCAGCACCCAACTCCATCGCAGCTCAGCAGGGAAGTAGCTGTGAAGGATTGTGAACAACATGACAACTATGTCCAGCATGATGGCCTGCAAACGCAACACAAACTTGAAATTGTCATGCAAGTGTTGCAAGGCCATCAGGCTGCAGATCTGCTGTTCAGGCGAAGGTCACTACACACTGCTCAAGTATGTTGACAGGCACCATCTCATCACCTGCAGACAGGACAGATAACCATGCACACAGATGACTTGTAGTCGATTCCGCCAAGTCGAGCTCCTAAATTAATATGTAACATTCGCCATTGTGCCACCAGGCAGCGGGTAGGATTGAACTGCCTGTGGCCCTGTGGCTGATAGCATTATCAAAAGACAACAATTCAATTCCACCATTCATCCAGTTTGGCTTGTGGAAAGCGGCTGGATCTTCAGTGGCTTGAAAATAAACTCTTGTTCCTCCTCTTGTAATTCCGTTTGCTACACATAGTAGCTGCTGATGAAAATTGATACAAAGACGGTTGTTCAAGTTGGCGCACTCAAAATGCAAGGGAACAGACTTGGGAAATTCGTGAATGTGGTAAACGACAGGTTGCACAGCAAAACCTCACACTGGGCTAATTTGGAGTCGCACTCCCTGCAAATGGTGTTTCGTGCTGCTCATCGGAGCCAAGGGAGCTCCAACACTAAGAAGCACCTTGTGTCCATGTTATCCCCCAATGTGTCTACAACCTGAATTCTCATTCCTAAATGGTCAACAACATGAAGGACCATGGTATGACAACCCATGGTGCCAGAGACTATCTCTCCTGTGGGCTGCGTCCTCAGGTGCACTGGCCTGGACACACACCTGCATGCAATTGAACCGCACAAAGTGCGAGAGCTTGTTGTTCTTCACGACTGCAAGGAACATCAAGAAGAACACGACGAGTGGCGCGAACTGACTGCAGTAGTATATGCCCACAAAGGGACCTGAAACACAGCAACACATATAAGTTCACTCCGCATGCAATGATCAAAGATCCGGAAAACAGAACTTGCCCCAAAACCTGAATACAAAATCATTAGTGGCTGGGTGCTCCACATGCACATGTCAGTATTCTGGGCATGCGTAGTGAGTTCATCACATTTTGCCCACACATTAAATTGATCATTGCCTTGGGCAGTGTGAAACGTAACATATCAAGCCGTACAGCCTGCAATTTGAAGGTTTCAGATAGCAATGTTGCCACGTCCCTTAGTCTTGCAGCCAAGTTTATTGCTGCCAGCACCAAAGACAAACACAATCCCTATATTGTCCAAAAGAGTCAACGCCTATTCGACTCACATATCGATCTAGGTTTAGAGCCCATCCCTCCCAAATGCTTGGATCCCTCCCTTGTCCTTAGGCTCGGCAGCCCCACTAGCTGTAGGTAGAACATGCCCTGGCAGTGATCCTGGATTTTAAGCTTCTGTTTGTCTGTTACATGGGCCCCATCCCAATACCCCCCCAGATGCGAAAATGAGGAACAACCCAGCTGCTGGAAATACAAAGTGCAAAGGAGCTAACAGCACAGCAGTTACCACGTGTTTGCTGAACAAGGCCGTGAACAGATGATGCACACTTGCACATTTTCTCCAACCAAGGTTTCAGGGCAGTGTCATACATCCTGTCACTTGCTCACCTGTCATGTAATACAGATAGATGAACACTGGGAATTTGTGGTAAATTTCTCGGCCAAGTCCCACGGCGTCTATCCAAGGAATCATGTACATGAAGGCTGCCATCGTCCTCCAGAAAATGTTTGGCGGCTCCTTGTCAGGGTTCTCCTCGTCCTCTTCTGCAGCATCAGGATCTCGCACTCGAGCACTGACAGGAACCTGGAGAAAGACAAAGATCTCATTTGTTTCGGTTCGCCCCAACTTTACTTATGCACTCAAGATTCATCGTAGCAGGTGAGGGAAACTTGTTGGACGCAGGGCACAACCCCCACAGGAGCAGAGGATGCTGACATTCTTCTCCGTGTACAGAATGGCGATGCAGAAGTCTACAAAGGCAGTGGAAAGCACACAACACAGCACTGTACAAGGGAGCTCAATAGATGAATGTGTCAAAACCAAGGCCGGTGTGTCCCCACCATCTGGGACGAGTTTGAGCACAAAAAATGTGGCCATTAACTTCTCTCCTGCCTACACATCTAGTATGCAACTAGCAGCCTGAACTGGAGCACTGCAGCTAGTGAACATACTGTGTGGCTTGCGCACAAACAGGAATGGCAACCAGTCATGGCCTTTGTTGATGACTCACCCGCTCAGCCTGTTGCCTCCTTGTCGTCTTAGCAATTCTCAGGCTTGAGGCATCTGCACAGATGATGATGGTATCAATCAAAGATCCACTGTGTAACACTGCAACCCCAAGATCATGCCACAAACACCATGGGGAAAAACACTCGTGTGGTGAGGGCACCTACAAACAGCACCTGATGGGCAGATGCTGTCTGGTGGAGAAGGATCTATCCCATCAGCCATTGTGCCTGCCATGCGACTTCATGCATTTGCTGCTCTTGCCACCAAGCTAGCACTGCCAATGCTGGCATCACGTTGCCAACAGACTATCCATGGTTTTAAATGTGGACACTGACAAGGCCGGTGACTGGCCCCACACGTCCCTGTGCTGAGTACACTTTGCAAATGGACGCAAACATCAATATCATCACCGAATTATGCACAATGGAATTCGGTAGGAGAACAAAATTTCCCAATTACAGGGGCATTCCACACACCAAAATTCTGCCCTTCCCACGACGTGGTCAACGTCGAACAATGGGACGGCCTTGCGCTAAAATGCATCATTTCTCACCACTTAGCATTGCAGATGCCACAAAAGACTGGATCGGCGCCCCCACAGCCCGCGCAGGGCCCTTCCCACACAAGAACCACGTCCGCCTGCACTCGCCGCCCCACCTCCCCCCCACCCGCGTCACCGACAACAGATTAGCGACTTCCATCAACATCACCGTCTGCGCACGGCAACGCGCACACCACAAGCGAGCCCCCCGCGCGGCCCAAAGCGCTTCGCAAGGGCGTCCATCACCGAGTCTCATCCCAGCCACGCCCGTGCGTCCTTTACAAGCCGTCGATAAAAAATCCGAACGGGTGCGGGATCAACGCCGACAAGATCGCACAGCCCGCGGCCCAACCTGGCAGAAACGCTGAGCACCTCAGACGAGCTGCGGAGGGCTCAGGACGGCCGGCCCTGCGCTCCCCGGCGCCCGCCATGCCGCCGAGGCATCCCGTCGGACGCCGCCATTGTCCCGCCCCGCACGATGCCGCGCGGGAGGCCCTGAGCTGCTGGGGCCGGCGGCAGGGTGGCAGGGGGCCTGCGAGGTGGGGCAGCGTGTTGGCGCCGTGCGCCATGCCCGGCCTTGGCCCGCCCCGACGCGCAGCCTTCGATCTGTTGGGAAGGGGCGTGGGGGGGGATCCGGTGCCAGAAATTGTACGACGGTGCGGGCGCATTATTTTGAACATATGGGAGCAGGGACGGCCACAAGATGCTCCAGAAACAGTCCAAAAACAGAAGAAAAAAGCAAACCCGTTTTTGAAAAGAAGGAGGTAAAACAGAAACGGGCGCAAGAAATAGACGGCAAATGAACACAAGAATGGGCGGAGAGGTTTTCAGTGTCCGGCAGGGTCCATCCCAGGCCCAAGGCGGAGCTGCATGAATGATGTTGGCTGCAGACGGCAGATAGAGGTGAAACACCTGTGTTGCTGGAAGCAATCGGACGGTAGGCTTGAGGCCACCGTGTGCACGAGTGGCGGCAAGGCAGCCGAACATGTGGACTTTAGCTGTCAACAGGCGAGCCAACCCTAGCTCTGAACCGTGGAAGCCAAGCAAGCTCCACAACGCTGATGTACCGTAGGGATGAGGCAAGCACACCTGCACTGGTCAGAACTTTCCAGAATCAGTTCACAGGTCCCTGGTATGCCCATGCACAACGTGCCACACAGACAGCCCAGAGAAGCACTGAGAATCCTTATTACAACTTGTTGTATGTACCAACGCCCAGTTCTGTCCAACACCAGCCAATATGTTACACCTTCTTACTTCTTCCGTACTATTCTATGCCATTTCGTCCACCCAACCCCTACTACCTAGTGAGTTCGTCGTCGACCTTGCAGGACCTCGTCCAAAACATGCCATTTTGCTGCTGTGTGTCAGTGGAAGGTGATCAAAAGTCCAAGTCGTCAAAAACCAGGTTCTTCACGTGGCCAGTGAGACCAGCCATCACGCCAGATTTCTGGTACTCGCCCACCCGCTTTTCAAAGAAGTTTGTCTTGCCCCTGGTGCCAGGCGAGCAAAGGCAGTCAGCAAACATGCCAAAGATAGTGTCAAGCACACTTTGCAATGGCGACACACAATCTTATCTGTTGCATTGCCTCTGGTACAGGAATACCCCGATGGTTTGCACAGCACACAAACGAAGCAAGGTGGTGGTCAATCAACCAAAAGGAGTGCAGAGCACTGGACCTGTGTACAAAGGCATCATCAGGAAATGGACGAGTGGTGTCCTTTAAACAGTCGATGGAGCCTGGTGTACAGATAGTGTACAGATACTCTGTGCAGCAGAAATTGACCACACTTACTGGAGGGAGATGATTTCCATCCAGTCGAACGGATTGGAGGCGTTGTACCACTTGCTGCATCCCAGGGCAACGAATAGCCTGTCGGCGACAAACTCCAGGTACTGGCTCATGAGGGAGGCATTCATGCCTATCAAATCCACCGGCAAAGAGTCGCATATGAACTCTTTCTCCAGCTCGACCGCATCGCAAAGGATCTCTTGGATCCGTGCCTGGGGCAGCTTGTTCTTCAGCAGGCTGGTAGCATGCAAAGAAAACCATTGATGACAGAAGCTAGGTGAAGACTTTTCAAACAAGGATGGCCCACTGTTTGTGGACACCATACAGCCAACGGAACTCAATTGATTCCCCGGCTAATAGCTAAACACAAACTACCACTGGTGTTCACTGAGCCTGTGAGGAAGCTAACCTGTACATCAAGCAGGCGAAGTCGCAGTGGAGGCCCTCGTCTCTGGAGATGAGCTCATTTGAAAATGTCAAACCAGGCATCAGTCCCCGCTTCTTCAACCAGAAGATCGCACAGAAGCTGATCACAGAGGGCATAAAAATCCAAATCAGGACATGCTTGGGGGCAAGCACATGAATGCTTTGGCACTCACAGCTGCCACCAGGATTTTGTGGCAAGATCACTTGTGGCACTTGAGGAGGTGCGAACAACAGCAGGAAACAATGCCAGCAGAGTCTGTCAAATTGTGGTTGGCAGGGCGCTATCAATCACTGTATGATGACTCAGCAATGACAACCAGGTCTCTCAACAGATTCAGCAAACACTCAAATGACAAAAGTGAAACTCCACCAGCTCGCTTCAGCAGTACCAGTGACAGATGCCTCTTCACACTACTTCAGCAATGGCAACATTATGACAACGCTGATGTAGGCAACCCCTATCTTATTGTACATAATTGATGTACACACCTGCCAGAAAAGAATATCCCTTCCACTGCAGCAAACGCCACTACCCTCTCAGCAAAGCTCTTGGAGCTGGCAGCAAACACAGAATGAACATTCAGCAAACCCTGCACTTGGTGACAGACCAGGGGCAAGGCAATAAAGCGGCACAATGAGCAGCAGCTGCCATCAATCAGTCACAGAGATGCCAAGAGGTTCTCACACACCTTCCTATCCATTTGAGGGCCCAATCCGCCTTCTTTTTAATGCAGGGTATGGTGTTTATTGCATCGAAGAGTTGGGCTTTCTCACTTGGGTCCCGAATGTATTGGTCCAGCAGCAAGGAGTACATCTCTGCAACGAGAACTCCACAATGATCAGTCCCCAGTGGCAATCAACTTCACTGCATGTACACAGGACGAGGGCTGCCCTTCCACCAGTGAGGCGATGTTACTTTTCCTAGTGATCGTCTGTCTATTTCCGTGCTGACCTGTATTGATATTGAAGGGACCAAAATACAACTGCAGAACCAGGAATTGTGATGGACTTATGGGTATGTGCTGCTCACCAGAGTGAATGTTCTCGATGGCTATTTGAAAGCCATAGAATGCACGGGCCTGCAGCCAGCACATGATTGCGTCAGCCACGCTTTGGAAAATGGGCACACAAAAGCTTGGGGCAACACATTGCGGCTGCCCACACCGCCCTTCCATCGCAATGCAGGTGCCCGGGTGAGATCGCGCCAACTGCGACGACAGCGCATTGAAACGGGTTGCATGGGCACCGTCGTGTCCCACACCTCTGGAATTTGAACTTCTCCCAGGAACCTCATGGCAAGATTCTCCAGCACGATGCCGTCCGATGCCGCGAAAAACGCAAGCACGTGCTTTATGAAATGCTTCTCATTCTCTCTCAGGGATTCCCAGTGGGTCTTGTCGTGGCTCAGGTCCACCTCCTCGGCTGCGAAACAGCGCACAAATACGGTTCACCGGTTTCTATAATCCGATATTCCATCCCCCATCCTCGCGCTGCCGCCTCGAACTAACAAGTCGCGACCACGCTCTTCTGTGTATATTTCTCCGCTGATATCAGTTGCCGCAATGCACTTGGGCGAAGGGGAGATGCCATGCGTGGCGCCCTTGCGACCGGATTGAGGGACGCAAGCCCTGGATGGCCCTCTGGGTCGGATTATTGGCCCTTTATGTTTGCACAATCAAGGCGAGAGACGTGCCCGCGGAGCCGCAGTTGCTGGATCCTTTTGCCCGGTTCAGTCACAGGAACAAAAAGGGCGCGGAATTTCAAATCCCCCCTCCCCCGAGGCAACGGGCGCCCTTCCCCGCGGGCTCCGCCGCTCACCCGTCCAGAAGCTGGCCTCCGCCTTCTTGTACATCTCCCACACCTCCTGGTAGCGGATGGGCAACATGCAGAATCGGTCGGGGTTCTCGTCCAGCAGCGGTTCGGCCGCCCCGGCCATGATCCCCATCTTTCCACCGCCCGGACGCAGATCGACGATTGCCGTAGGCCCCAGGGGCGTCGCATTCTCCTTGCCTCCCGGCGCACTGCGCGGCGGCGCCGGGCGCCGGTTTGTCTGCCTGGGCTGCAGGGGGTTCATGGCGGTGGGGGATGCTTCGCGGGGGATAGATCCGAGCAGGGATGGGGGGGGGTAAGGGGGCGGAGGGGGGAAGGGAGGGAGCAGCGGGCGGCGAAGGAGGCTGGGTGGGCCCGGCGGCGAGCGGCCTTGAGGGCGGCCCGCGCCATGGCGCTGGCTTTTGGGGAGTGGCAGGGGACACCGGCGACAGAAATCGCGGGAGGGCGGCAGGTTTCAAACGTGTGGGATGCACCCCAAACGCAATGTACTCAGTTCGAAATTCGAAGCGCGGAAGCGCAGTTTCGACCGGGGCCCGGGCCGTTGGGCGCATCGCGGTTTAGGCCCTGCAGAAGTTGCCCCATTGCGCAGAAAATGGCGGCAGTCATGTTGAACAAAATGAGGAGGGCCAGGCCATTGTAAACCGTTCTGACCGCTCCTATAATCGAATCCGTCTTCGTCTCATCAATATTTAGCATCCAGGCCAGCCACCCGAGTAGGGTCACCAAGAGTTCCCCAACCCACTGGATGCCAGCGCCCAGGAACCTCACACCCCGCCCGACAGCGCCAGCCAACGCCGCCATGACGGCAGCCCCTTCCATGGGCGATCCCGGAAAGCTCATAGTCATCTCGCACCTCACCGCAGAGGTCTCCACCAGTTCCGTACGACGCAATGTCCTCACCGCGTCCACTCGTTGCGCGTACCGGCCGATCCGCACTCCCATAGGGTGCTACGGCACTCCAACACCAGCAACGGCGCTCGCCTTGCGTAATGCGCCGCCCTCAGTCACTCCGGATCCCACAAATGTCTTACTCACTACTCAGCGCGAGTGTGAGAGACGCCACAGAGCCTCGGGGCTCCTTAGGCCGGCTTGCGGACACACGGGTACCGCAAGAGGGCAAGACCGGTGGGCGGTCGAGCCGGCGGGGGGCTGTGGCGCGACGGTGGGAGGTACAGGCGGCTGGGACACAGGGATAGTCACACAGAGGCCTGCCGGAGAGCTGTCAGGACAAACTCCCCGCGGCTATTTATTACAGAGCTGTCTTTCGGGTACAACCGGCAACCATGCGTTCACTCCTTCTCGTCATGCCTCCCCGTTCACTCATCCAACTGGACACGACACGACCCAATCACAGCAAGTCTCCGGTACAATCCGTCCCGTCCGGTCACACGCCAGCCAGGACACCCCAGAGATCATTCTCCGTCAAGGAAACCCTCGGACGACTCCATCCTCGCCAGCTGGCTTCCGGTGGCTACCCTCCGTCTCGTCATCCGCCAGCCCGGACACCGTCACGTCACGACTGCCAGCTTGTCTCCCCCCTTCCCGTAATTCGCGCCCATCAACCTCCGAATCCCGGCGGGAGTGATGGCGTCACCGCGTCCTCGTTGCGTGTCCCATCAAAACCGGGTGGCAGGGTTGGTGTCGTCATCGCGGTCGTGCCGAGGGTTGCCGGTACAGCGGATGGTCCACCAGCGGGCGCTTCTTCCATGACGTCATCGTGGACTTGCCCCTGTCGCCTCGCCTCGCGTTGCTGACGTCGGATGGCCCTCCGCCAGGCCCGCTCCTCCGCGCGCAACTCCACGGCCGTGTACGGCGGCTTGCCAGCATTGACGCGTCGGGCCACAATCGCGCTGGCTTCCACGAAGGCGGCGGAGGGCAGTACAGTGGCGTTGGGTTCAGTCTGAACCCCGAATTCCTTCCGCTCACGTGGGAAGGTCTCGGAGGCGCTTGATGGATGTGTAGTCGCGTATTCGCGGCGGGTCACGCCTCCACCCTCCACGCGCCAGCTTCGGTCATCGGAGTACGGTACACTGATGTCCAGGCTCACATGCACTTGGCGGTAGTAGAAGCTCAGTTCCGCACCGCGCCAGGCACTGATCCGCCCCCCTTCGCGTTCGATCATCGCGGTGATGTGTTGACGGAACGCCTGAATCCCCATGCCGGCGTAAGGCCGATGCGGATGGGGATGCACCTGGAGCGCCCAGGGGCGGTACACGGCCTCAGGATCGTAGTCGGGGTTCCAGTCTGGCTTCTCCCCAGGCCCAGGCAGATGTCCTGACGTCAATTGCGTTGATTCCGTGTGCTCGTACGCCTCGCGCGCCTGCTCCTGGAGCTGATATCGTAATGCCTCCTCCCCATGCTCTCGTTGATGGTGCAGCCATTGTTCATCTTCGGCGCTGAACGGTAGGATCACCGTGAGCCCGAAGCTCCAATATCCTGGCGGGCAATCAGCTCGCTCGAGGTACCACCTCGAGAGCCATAGATCGCCGAAGGCGAGCCACTGAGCGATGAGTAAACGCCAGCTTTCGACTTGCCGAAAGCGCGCTGCGGTCATGGCTGCTGGGAAGGCGCCGAACAGCTGCTGGGGAGTGAGAGTGGAAGGCGGGGCTCGCTTGTGCAGGACGGACAGAGTGCAGGAGAACGCCACTGTGCGCTTTTGCCGTTTTGGAGGTCTTGGACGATGTTCGGATGTCGGACTGGTCGCTTGGCTGCTTGTGGGTGTGTGAAAGGATGTCGTGATCCTATGCTGGATGTCAAAGTTGGACAGAACCGTGGATGCTGATGCGTAGTCAGCCGCATAGGGCATGAAAACTGTACAATGGAGCTGATTCTGAAGTCGTAGTCGCTGAGCGGCTTGATCTTGTACAATTCTGGTCGGATTGTAAGTGTTTGATTGCTCCTCATGTTGCCACTATTCCCAGCTGTGAGATACATCTATTCTCAGAGTTAAAGTTGGGCGGCCGATGGGGCTGGAGATGTTGCCTGATGATGCTTGGAAGATGAAGTTGATCGAGTCATTTGCCATGTCATTATGGCCTGGAAATGGCCAACTTCAACATGGGCACTCCCACGCTGGACTGCGCCTCAACTCCGAACTGCCAACTGCCTCTTCGCGTCACCATACATATTCCGCATCATCGAATTTCTGTATGAAATTCTCATGGAACACCAGTATCTTCTTTCGGCCTGGCTTGTCCCGCCTTCGTTCTGCGGCCCTCCAAAGATTACCCGGCAGCTTCTCCACCAGCTTGTAGGGTCCAGCCCAACGCTTCATCAACTTATGGCGTTGTTTTTTAAGGCGACTGAAATCGTATACCAGAACCGTATCGCCAACCTTCAGATTTTCTGAAAAAACCCTGAGGTTCTGATTAGCCCGATCCCTTGCCTTTGCCATCTTCTGATGGGCTTCCAGTCGCATCTTGTAGTCACCATGCCGTAATTCATTGGGCGTCCTGCCGGCTACTGAATGTACAGATCTATTTATGTTTTGTACTACCCAATCTAGTTCTGTAGTCCATGTACTACCCGTAGCTAATACCCTTTTGCCGAGCTGATGTACAATAGTTCTATTGCACCGCTCCACTACCCCAATACTTTCATGGCGGTAGGGAGCTATAAAAAAGTGCATAACCCCATTGTCCTTACACCAATCCCGGAATTGTTCACTTTGATATGTACTAGCATTGTCCGACACCAAGACACTAAAAGGTCCATAGAATGCCTTCCAACGCTCCAAGGCACGTATTGCCTCACTACTGTCTGTACTAGCTATAGCTACAGCATCTACCACTCGCGATGCTGAGTCAACAACACACTGTATGTACTCCAAACCATTTTCCTCCGGAAACGGCCCCACTATGTCAACGAAGAGAGTGTGACCGGGCTTGAGTGAAACTGGGGGCTGTCCAAATCCCCTCCGAGCTGTCAATGGTCTATATAAAGTACAGATCTCACACTGGGAACACATCTGTTTGATGATTGACCATGGTACAGCATGCCCTTTTTGTCTAAGTGCATACTGTACTTTGTATGGTCCCCAATGCCCATCACAGTGCTCATTCCAGGCCAGCTGCCGTAGCTCACTCAAACGCGCTTCCTTGGTCATTTCTGACTGATGGTTTGTATGTACAACTGCCCCCACTGGCTCCAGAAACACTTCAAAGGTTCTGCCTGCTTGTGTAGAAGTACTGGGAGAGTCATCTCTTGGCGTCATGCCGGTAGTCATATGGCAGCTGCAGCATTTCCTCCTCCTCTCCAGTCTGACATGAAAACTTTCTCCGTTGGGCCTGCTTAAGAGATCTGCGACCGTGTTCTGAGATCCAGCCATGAACTCTAAAGTAAATCCGGGTTCATTAGCAACGAGCCACCCCCATTTTCGGTAGGCTCTTATGTCGCTGTCATGAAGGTACCCGGAATTGAACTTATCAAAGATTGCATGGCTGTTGGTTCTTACTACTAACGGTACAGCACCTCTAAACGCCTTTGTCCGCTTGCAGGCCCATACTATAGCTTCCAGTTCTCCTAGATAGGATGAAGTAGCTGCCTTCACTGTCTTACTACCGATGTCTACCAGTTTTTCCTCTCCGTTCCGTTCTACAAATAGCATATACCCCCGGTGCCCTGTACTCCAGTCAGACTCCAGTGTGAATATGTACCGGTCTGCCTCTGCCCCTGGCAATATGAGCCATTTAACATTATCTAGGGCAAGCTGAAAGGCAGCCTTTATGTTTTCCTGTACAGCGCCTATTTTTTCATCAGAAAATGGTCCAGCCTTCCATTCTCTGAGCATTTCACGCAGTGGGCCCAAAATCCTTTCTATGCCAACTATACACCTCCTGGCATAAGAAAGGACCCCAATAATTGATTCCAATTGTTTTATATTTTCCACCTTCCCCACTTCCTTCATTTTTTTCTGTAGATAGTTTTCAAAACTCCAGTGCCCATTACTAATTTCATGTCCCAGGAAGGTGATGGATTCACTACACCACACCACCTTCTGAAAATTCACCTTTACTCCATAATGGGCAAATCTGGAGAACACTAATATGACTTTTTCTCGGAGTTCTTCAAGGGTCTCAGCTCCCACCAGTACATCATCACTGTACT